AAATAAAAAATTGTCATTAGACGTAATGAGTTATGTATAAGTAAACTTTCTTAAAAATTAAAGAAGTTCAAGTCAAAAAGAAGTTTGATGAAAACTGTAATACTAAAGCGAACATGGGAAGGTAACCTGCTGCAAGACTAAGATATATATTCGTCTTCCTTCTAGGTTCATTGCCTTTTTTGGTTGAGGTTAAACATCGCCCTGTTTTCAAATATCGCGATGTACGTCACGTTCTCTCCCGTGATTTTGATTCCAGTCATACCTCTTATACAGGATACCGAGTTACATAACTTTCAGGGACAAGTAACAAAACAATAACACATTAAAAAATCACAAAAGACCATATATAATAAATTTTTATTGAATAAAAACAACCCCATCGGTCTACAGTCTAGGGGAGATGTCACATTGTGTCTACTTGTCTTTTAATATAAAAGTAAGAAAGTGAGTTTCTGTGTTGGGTGTAAGGAGATGTCTGTGAGAAGTCATCCTATGGGATATTCGTGTCGGTCGCTGATGTGTCGTCTGGTAATGTTTTGATGGTGTGTGGTATTTTATAGTGGTTCGTTAAATTATATTTTCTTGTAAATTCTTGCAAACATTCTCTACATGTATGTCTTCGTCGTCTGTGTGCCGTATCGTGATGTCGTTTCAAACCATGTTTGCAGGTGAATGCATGCTCACATATGTCACTTGTATAACGTATCATGGGTAGGTCGTCTACAGGAAAAATAGTGGTGTGTGAATTAACGTTACTGTGGTTGTTAGTCTTTACGCGTTTGTTGTTTGTTATGTCGTCATACATCGTATGTCGCTTTAATGGAATAGTGTTGGTCATGGTACGAGTTGTTTGGGTCGCTGCTAGGGGTTGCATGGTTTGTCTGTCGGTCACGTATAGTGGTTGTGGAGTTTGTCTCTCGGTTGCTGATGGGGTGTCGGTCGGTGATGTTTGGTTGGTGTGTGTTGTTTTACAATGTCTTGTTAAATTGTCAAGTCGTGTAAATAGATTCCCGCATGTTGTACAGAGATGTCCTTGTCGGCGGTGAACAGAGTCGTGATGTCTTGTCAAACCGTCTTTGCGGGTGAACACACGGTTGCATATGTCACACTTGTTACGGCTCATGGCTGGATGGGTGGTAGACTGGGCGGTTTGCATTATTGACGAAGTGTCTAGTAGTTGGATGACTGGGTAGGTCACTGGCTGTAGAATAAAAATAAATACATAAAATAAAATGCATGAAACAAAAATCATACTTAAAACAAAATTAAAAATGAACGTACCTATGGGTTTGAACGCGTAAGCTGAACGTGAAGTTAGCTGTGTGTGGAGATCCGAAATGGTGTAGTTGGATGTAGCTGGAACGTTTGGTTCAGTGGGTGCCTCGGGGATGGGTAGGTAGTTCAATAGGTTCGGTCGATGGTTAGTCTGTCTCGTAGGGTCGGTTGTACACTAAAAGGAATACATATGACTACTTATTTAGATACCTATTTATTTAAAGGGTATTTTAATGGGGTTAGCTCCCTTAAAACAAAAAGTAATATTAACCTTACCTTTAATAGAATAAACACGCACAAAAGATGTGGTCCGTATAGGGTTAGGTGGATGTGATGGTTGGTAAAGCTGGCGTGGGTTTAGTCTCAGGAGTCAACAGAGGTCGCAGGCTGGATAAGTCGCGGTGACGCTTGATTTGAAGTCCGAAGTTGAAGTGATTAGAACACAATTTTCGCGGTCATTTATCCGGTTGAACGGCCTAATTACAGCACCAGTTGTCGCACAACAGCTGTTGCATAATGACCTAAGTGCTTCGCGGAAAGCTACTTAATGTATGTCGTTAATTACCATAACCCGTCAACCGATCGGGGATAACTCGGTGAAGCATAACAAAAAATTTAATTAGGTGGGACATCATGCTGTGATGGGCCAGCGGCTGCGATCAATACATTCCCATTAAAACGGGCAGCGGTGAGAAAACTTCGCGGGCGGGTCGATACGTAACAGCTGTGGCTGATCGTTATCTTTAATGGATGTTCTATGTTTGTAACGTTCGTTGTGGTGGAGAATTTAACCTGTTTTTTGTACACGGTCGTTGTAGGGGAGAATTTAAAACATACATACAACCAAATAAACAAACCAACAAATTAAACAACAAAGAAAAGAAATATATCAAATAAATAAATTAAACAAAGTAATTAAAATCAAATTACGTAACTAGTTAATAATAATTTAACTAATTATAAAATAAAATAAAATTAAAAATAAACAAAATAAAAATAATTAAAAAGTAAACAAATAATCAAATTACGTAACTCGTCAATAAAAATAATTAAAAAGTAAACAAATAATCAAATTACGTAACTCGTTAATAAAAATTACACAATATAAACAAAGTAATTAAATTAAACAACAAGTAAACAAACAAATTAAACAAAATAAAAATACAATCAAAGTAATTAAATTACGTAACTCGATAATAAAAATTAATTAAAAATTTAAAAACTCATTAAAACTAATTAAAAAATACATTAAAATTACGTAACTAGGTCAAAAAATTAATTAAACTTTTAAAAACTCATTAAAACTAATTAAAAAACTCATTAAAATTACGTAACTAGGTCAATGATTACGTCATAATGTTACTAATTACGTCACAAGGTCACCGGTGGTGACCTACTGACCTACTCCCCCACCTGCTCACCCACCCTAGGGTGGGTGAGTATTTTACTATATCTCGTTGTACCAGGCTGCTCACCCACCCTCACCCACCCTCACCCAGGTGGGTGAGTATTTTACTATATCCCATTGTACCAGGCTGCGCCACCTGCTCACCCAACTTCACCCAGATGGGTGAGTATTTTACTATATGTCGGTGTACCTCCTGCTCCCCCAGGGAGTATTTTACTATATGTCGTTGTACCAGGCTGCGGCAGGCTGCGCCTGGTGGGTGAGTATTTTGCTATATGTCATTGTACCAGGCTGGGGGAGTATTTTCCTATATATCCTTTGCTCCTGCTCCTGCTCCTGCTCCTGCTCCTGCTCACCCATACTACCCAAAAGTGACCTAATATACTACTCATATTACATATAAAAAACGGGACGGGGTGGCCAAGCTGTAGAGAGCTGGACTGCTAACCCGTAAGTTCGAATTTCTCGAGTTCAAATCCGGGTTCAAGTCAATAGACCGTCCCTGAGTCCACCCAACTCTAATGGGTAACTAAGTCACGTTAGGGTAAATAAAGGCGGCTGGGCATAGTGCTGACCACACTATCTCTTCATATGCCGGTCACAGAAACAAGTGAACTCTACTTCACTAGCCCCATAGACCGTCAGGTCTGAAAAGGGAACTTTACTTACTACTGTTACTTACAAATAAAAATAATCTTCAATTTACCTTTATATTAGCGAGTATACATTTATCGTTAATCGTTTGTTTCACAAATTGTATGTACTGCAATATTAAATAATGCTCTATAATGCATTTGTTTACACAGCTTTGATTATCAACTGGTGACGTCACCAAACAGCCGGAACAGTTAGGCGACCCCTCCTGTACATGTATTGAAGAATGTAATTTCCCCCGAAAGTTGAGAAGTCTGAAGAATCCTGACTCGTTGGGTTGGCATGTCTTGTCACAGCCCCAGACGTTTTGTAGGAGTAATGGCGCCGTGGTCATTGTGTGGAAGAAATCACAATAATACAGCAATAATGAATTTATTTTTTCTTGACTTGTATTATTTAAGGCCTTTATTCGTGCAAAATTATACTGAAAAAAAAGCATATTTTCAACTACACAAAGAATCATGATTATTTTACATGTTAAAATTATAATATCTATTTTGTTACTAAACGTTACATAAGTGTAAACTATATATAGAATTATTCTATTAAACTTTGTTGTGCGTCATTTTTAATACTATCTGTTAAACTCATGTCACCAAAAAATAAAAAATAAATAATCTCACTTTAATTCTGCCTGCTAATGCAAGTGAAGCCAAAACACAGATGGAAATTATAGCTAAAAGTGATACTTTGTTTAAATGTGAACCTGAAACAAATAATTTCAATGATGGTTAAAATATCTACAGCTATGATATATATTAAATGCTTGGATAAAATCGATGCCAAGATAAGTCATGAGTCTTGAACCATTACCAATTTTACACTTTTATTAATTTTATACTTCATGAGTAACCAGCCATATCAAATTAAGTGATCCTTTACATTACCATTTGTTTCGTAATATATGTATGTATATGCTTACTGTTAAATGATAATTATTCAAACACTTTCGATATTTAAAAATGAATTTTAAAATATTTCAATTATACACACACACAAAAAACAATACCGTGTGTACCTATTATGTTTTCATCTTTGATGTTCTGGACTTTGTAACTTCTCCGTCTCAGTACGCGCTTATGTTGTTTTAAATACAATTTCATCAACAGAAAAATTTCTAATAATTCTTTTTCCTCTCCTTCTTTTATGTTGTTTACTTTTAAGTATTTTTTCAGTAACACGTGCATTTTATCAATGATGTTTTGATACTTAATAACTTGGAGTAAGTTTGTATCTACTTTAAACACTCTTTTTATAATGGTTTCTCCTAAAAATATAATTCGATTTGAAATATCATCATTTGCAGAGTTGGGCATTTTTTCAATGAAAAATTCCGTTGTATTCTCACAGTGATCTCGAAGTGCTAGTAAAGGGGTATAACCCATTATGTCTCTATCGTTCACACTTGCTTCGCTTCCCAATAACAGTTTTGCAACCTTGAAATGTTTGAAATTTGTTGCATACATCAAAGCAGTTTGACCATTTTTATCTTTAAAATGGACATTGGCTTTATGATTTAAAAGTATCTCTACAACAGCCTTATGTCCCTTTATTGAAGCAAACATTAATGCACTTACACCATCCTCTTCAATGTCGTCTATACCAGCGCCATACTTTAATAGTAGTTCAACAATTTCGGCGTGTCCGTAGATCGACGCCATTATTAAGCGGTCACGTCGCTCATGTGGCGGGCATTTACATTGACATTGTGTTGTAGAAGAATTTTAACAACATTCGTAAAATTTCGATGCATTGCAACAAACAGAGCGCTTAAGCCTGTATTTGTTATAAAATTCAAGTTTGCGTTGTATTTTAGCAGGAGTTTAACAGTGGTTGATCGACCTTTAGAGGCAGCAGTCATTAACGGCGTTGAATTAACAGATGAATCTAATTTATTTACATCTGCGTTATTTTTCAATAAAAATTCAACATTTGAATCATCTCCCCTATTACACCAGTAGAAAAGCAGTGACGTGCCTTTAAAATCAATGCGATTAACATCGTACTTTTTAAAAAAAACCTTCAAAACAGAATGATGATGTCTAGACAATGCAAGAAGAATTCCCTCGAGTGCCTCGTCTTGTGTAATGTGGGGTAAAAATAATTCAACGATCTCAGAAAATCCTTGAAGTGAAGCCATGTTTAGAGACTTTAGCAATGCATCCCTGTCAAACGAAATATTTTTTTTCCCAATATCTACTACGCTCTGTGTTTTATTATTCTGCATATTTTTGTTGCTTACAAAATACTTCTGCAGTAGAACTTCGACAGTTTTCTTATGTCTATAGATGGTAGCCAAGAGGAGGGCAGTTGAACCACCCGGTAAAGTAATTGTAAAGTCTGCATCATGTCGAAGCAAAAAATCCACAACTTTATCATGACCCTGCTCTGATGCTAACGTTAATGCTGTTGATCCACTTTTTGAAACAGCGTTAACATTGACGCTAAGATCTATCAGACGTTTAACACCCTTCAGATCGCCTTTATATGACGCTTCAAATAAAGATTGTTCGTTTCGTTGCTTATGACCAGTAGTTTTTGTTTTAAACGTTTTCACATCATTTACTGTAGCGGCTTTAAATATGCCTTCCAGTGATTTAGTAATGGTTTGAATGAATTCACCAAATGTATTAAATATTTGTTCTGAGTTCTCAAATATCGTTATGAGTGTATATAAAAGATCATATGGTACGTTGTTAATATGTGTATTTTTAGGTACGCCATAAGTTGGGTAAATTGCTGATGGTGCAAGAAGAATTATTTGGATGAATGGTAACATCATGTGTATCCTCATGGTTGCACCGTATGAAAACTTCACAGTGAAGTGAAATTTTATGTTTCTGAAAAAAAACAACATATAAAGCATTAATATATGTAAATCCTATTATCTTTCTATCTTGAGTATATTTTAAACTTAAAAAAAATACGTAATAATGTGCTAATTTTTAAATTTATTTTTTGCTTTAGCATGTGTTTTGTTTTTTATGTTAATAGGACTTTACAAAATTTTCAAGGACGGAGTGGTCTAGCCGTAGAGAGCTGGACGTATAACACGTAAGTCTCGAGTTCAAGTCAGCAGACCGTCCCTGAGTCCACCCAACTCTGATGGGTACCTATCTCACATTAGGGAAAGTAAAGGCGGCTGGGCATAGTGCTGACACATTATCTCTTCTTAAGCCGCGGTCTCAGAAACAGTTAGTGAACTCTACTTCACTTGCCCTACAAACCGTCAGGTTTGAAAGGGAACTGTACTACTTACTTTACAAAGTAACTATGCCCAACCGCCTAACGCCTTAACGTGAGTTAGGTACCCATCAGAGTTGGGTGTACTCAAGGAGGTTGCACTACTTGACCCCAGATTCGATCTCGACAGTCGGGTTAGCACTCTAGCGCTCCACCGCTAGGCCACGCCGTCCCGTATTTACCCATGTATGTTTTAATAGAATAGATTTCTCCAAATATGTCCCCTATACAATATGGGTTGGCATATAAATACACAATACATTCTACATTGAGAAACAAACCTTATTGTAAGCATATATTTGACATTAAATTAATTCTACTGCAAAAAATATAACTATCACAATAGTCTGTATCCAGCTTTAAGAATTATATTACGAAACAATAAGTAAACTAAAATGTAAACTCTAAACTCTAAGAATCAACCCTCCACTAAGTTCGATTCCAAGACCACGTCCAACAATACATTTTAATAATGTAAGTATATTCGATTAATTGAGACTTTTTCATTATTATTCACCTTACTAGAAACCGTTGCATGCAATGGCGAACTACAACAATTCGACACACAAAGATTTAGCATTTAGAAAATTGCTGAACTCACTATATTGAAATCCTCTCGTTATACATTTATTAGAGTCAAATGCAAAGATTTACATTTAGAATATAATGATTACATTATGTAATAGTACAATTATAATCAAGTACTGTCAAACGAGTAATCAACCAATTATATTTAGAATCTGACTTAATTTAAAAAAAAATCAATAAACTTTTATTTGTTACTTATCTAAGCAGTAGCGTAGCGAGGGGGGGGGGGGGGGGGGGGGGCGGGGGGGGGGGGGACATATGTCCCCGGGCGCCGAGCTTAGGGGGCGCCAAAATGGGTTGGAAAAATAAATTGAAAGTTTGAGGGGGGGGGTGCAAATCGAAAGTTTGAGGGGAGGGGTTGCAAATCGAAATCTCGACGAGGAAGGGGTGCAAATCGAAAAGCTTGTCCCCTGGCACCGGGAAGGGTAGCTACGCCTCTGTGTCTAAGGCAACAGAGAAATACTAAAGTAACACAAAATGATATACCGATCTTAACATAAATAAGTTAAAACCAAAAGTAAATGTAAATGCAACCACAAGTTCAAAACACTCATTATGTCTACTGAGTTCATAATTTTAAACTGCTATTCTCGGTAAGTTTACTCCAAGACCAGTAGTTTAAAATCAAGGATTCTGTTTTTATAAAACTAACACTGTTAGGGACCTACGAAGTATGTTGTAACTAAAAACAACAGGTATGTCATAGTGTAATGCTGCATATGTTTACAGTAAATTTCTTTTTAAAGTTTTTCAATCTACAATATATATATATTACTATGCATCAGTTTAGGTTTGCACTAGAACAAATATTCCTATACATCAAGGTCCTATCAGATATTTATAACTTTGGATTTTAAATGTTGACTTTGCTCTTCTCAACTCATTAGATAGTCTAAAAATAATACGTAATAATTAATATTACCAAAATAATAAAATCACAATATAAAATGACATACTAGAATTGTAAGGTACATAAGCATAATCCACATGTTTGAATCTTGACCTATATTGTGGACGAGGGGGAGGGGTTGATACCAGGAGCTTAGTGAAGTCTAAAATACGAACTCTCTATACGAAATCAGACTTTGACGTATGTCTATAATATATATATATATATATATATATATATATATATATATATATATATATAATACTAAAATCTCACTTATCATCGATTAAAATTATATGAAGCTTAATTGCTTTGTTACATCAAAGTAATACAAGGCTAAACAACGTTTGACAAAATCACATTAGCGAATAATGTTCTAAGTAATAAATTTAGCAAATATAGCAACGCCATGTGAGGAAATGACCTACCTTAGACTCGCTAAAATACAGCAACTAACAGTTGAGACCGCCTAGTGAAATCAATAGTGTGAATAACATGGCTGTGCTCAATTAAACTGTGTTAGTGAATGGCGTGTATGTTGACAGTTGCGGGCTTATGCTTTACTAGATAACCCTGTTCCAGTTCAATGATCATGTGTTAAGAAGGCGTTTGGTGTTTTGAACATGTTTCAACACTTTTTTTGTCAAGTAAAATCCAATATTTACCGCGACTGAACATGTTCCAACATTTTATGTGTAATTGAGTCTTATATTTACCTTGGCTAAACATATTCCAACATACAGAGTATGTTTTATATTCATTTACCAAACAAATTAAAGCCAAATAAGCTAAATAATTAAAGGTTTTCCATGCACATTGAAAACGCGGAAAAAAGTTGGGTAACTTTTTATAATTAATTAGCTTGCCCGTCGAACGCGCATTTCTGCGGTCTTAGAAGAAAGGCAGTTGCAATATTTCAAGACGATTTCTTTAATGCGTTTTCCAATTATATATATTTTAGACGCTTTACCCTATTTACTATAATTGAGTTATCTTAATATAAAGAAAGCAAGCGCCATAAATCTTGGATCATAGTTTTTGCGGCAAGAGTTTGTCCACACTGTGAAAGCCTTGAGTACATGTTCATCACTCTACGTGAAAGTGAGGTAGAACACAGCGACCGCCCAGGTTTCAATAACGTTGTTGCCCTTCGTGTCTATAGTGTATAGCCTTTTTCTAAAAGCAAACGTAGGCGCCAAAGTGATCACCGGGGAGCCTCGGGCGCTTCGGGCCTCGCCTGGTCGCCGACGGTTGCGCCTGGTGCAGATTTACCCCTTAATCAACCAGTGCCCCAGACCCGCTATGCAGGACGCCAATACATCTAAAAAGCTGTGCGCCAAACCGTATATTGAGAAAAATTGCACCACTTGGGGTACCGCCCTATAATTTTTTTCACAGAAACCTTCCCATGGAATATTCTCATAAAATCTGCACATTTTTATGGCACTCTATTGAACGGGTCAAACAGCATTCGGGTTTTTATTTTTAAATATCGTATATTAAGAATAATCGCATCGCACCCTGTTGTGGCGCCGCCCTTGCAAATTATTCTTCACAAATTTCAACATTTTAGTAGCTGGTGCGAGTGGCAAACTATATCGATTGTATAAAGGCATTTGATCACTGCTGTTCGACAGTGTTATGGTTACAGAGGATAACATTTCAAGATTAAGCGGGATGTTTTTTCGTCATAAGTATCATCAATGTGAGGACTGCCTGTGTCCATGCTGCCCTGGAAATTGTAATTGATCGCGCATTTTGTCTACATCACATAGTGAACTTTAGGCCTTTGATTCGGACTTTTAAAATAGAGAAATACCAAAAAGTTATATTTTTAAAAAATCAAAAGACTAATACCGTTTCTGGGACCCATTTTTTGTTTGTTTCTTGGACCACCGAGATTTTTGTTTTTTGGGCCCATCGTAATTTTGTTTTATATTGTTTCCTTGATATATTTTTTCTGAGATAGTTTTTTTGGCTTTATTCAATGTAACGATACTTTTTCTGCTGTTATTTGTGTTATTTATGAAAATTGACAAATAATAATTATATAGGCGTAAGGCTTTAAAGACAACTTTAACCAAAGTTTTTAATATTTTACTTTTGATTTACTATAACAAAATGTTATGTTTAACATGTAAATTTTATTCTATATAGCTTATTTTATACCGTCTTAAAAATATCAGAACGTCCTTTAAGCTATGTCGATCATCCAACACATCCAGTTACTATACGTGACATTATTTCTATCGTGGAGCGCCTACACGTCATAAAAACTCAATACACTCATAAGAGCTTTAGCCCACTTTTCTTTATGTCCTGTTGTGGTCGCCAATAAAATCAATAGCCGATGTGTATGGCCTATATCTCTGTTATGTTTAAGTTAAATAATATTTTACAGGGTCCCAGAACACCTAAATATTCTGATTATTATTTTGAATATAAAAAAACTAGCGACAAACTCTCTGAACTTTCCATATTTATAATTAACTTTTTTTTATTGCGGCTGTTTAGGGGACAAAATATTTTTTGCACCATGATAGACTGCTGTTTTTGGAAAAAAAAAACCAACAGATCCGCTGATGCATTGATCGTTCCACTGTAAGAAACAACTAACATCCTACTCATTACACGTTGTCGCAAAAGAATAACCGCCCCCCCTCCCCTTTTAAAAGTGATATAATTTATTGACGAATATATATATATATATATTTATATATATATATACATACATATATATATATATATATATATATATATATATATATATATATATATATATATATATATATATATATATATATATATATACAGAGAGAGAGAGAGAAAGAGGAGGGAGGAATGATACCGTTTTTGCGTGGGGTGGGATGGATTATTTTAAGTTCGGCCACTGGTTCACTTACTTGTTACACTATCATACAGTAAACGTAATGGAACTTAACTAAACTTTACTGAGCATAACTACATTAATTGCTGCTTTCTATCTATTATTTTTTTTTTACTTTTACTTAATTTTCATGACTTATTTCCTCTAATTTAATTTTGGAAAGCTTTCAATCAGGTTGTTTAAAAAACAGCAAATGAGGTTTGTTTCCTCTTTCCTTTGAGGATGCTGAGGGAATGAATTAGGCAAGTTTCATTAAACTGCGCCGTTGCTAGTTGCAATTTTGCCTGTTTCTTTACCACGAACTGTCAGACTCTTTTGTGCTGTCCTCGTATTTCAAATTTTGCTCGTATTTCAAAGCAAATCATCGCTCACCCGATTTATATAAATAAATAAATAAATAAATAAATAAAAAAAAAAAAAAAATATATATATATATATATATATATATATATATATATATATATATATATGTATATATATATATATATGTCACATCACTCGTATATCGAGGTTATGCTGCACATATTTCTGGTTGTTTTGTTTATAGAAAAAAAATAAAAACATTCTTCAAATATGTAGGTTTATTTTATTGTATTGAAAATAGCACATCGTTGTAAGGACAGCGTGGGCCCACGGGTAAGTACTAGACTATTAAATGAAAAACATAAACATAGCACAAACACATTTTATTAAAAGTATAACATTTCAACGTTCTGAAGACCACGATTAGAAAACCAGTTTTACACTGAAAAAGATACCAAAGATAGTGTTCATATTGCAGCTCATTTCATAAAATTTGCTGATCAATATGACTGAGGAGACTGATAGCACCGGCCCTCTTCACTGGTCACATTAATGTCATAGCTGTACAGGAAACTAGTGAACTCTACTTCACTTGCCCCATAGACCGTCAGGTTTGAAAGGGAAACTTTTTTTGTACAGGGAAACTGGAAATTATGAGCTTGTTTAGGTGTAGGACATTACCCCCATCCCGTATGTTCCCCACTGATGCCCCCCCCCCCCCGCCCCACACCGAAAAAAACCTTCGGGAACCAGGGTAATTGACCTTCCCGCAACAAGAACACTTACTCAAACCTGCACATGCAGCTATCACTAATCCCATACTCAATCCTAACTCCAACTTTATACCTTAATTTAACCCTAATCCTAACATTAAGTCTTAACCTTATTTTTAAGTAACTTTGAGTCCACCTACATTTATAGGTACCTGACTTAGGTTAAAGAAAGTAAAAGCGACATTTCATCATGCTTAACCCCGTTCATATGTCATGCTTCATATGTGGAAGTAATAAAATCAAATGAGTTCTACTTCATCAGCCCACTGTACCGGGATGTTCGGAAGGTTCGTTTTTACTTTATTTAAAATACTTTTTATGCACATAGTACACAATTTACATTTGTATTAAATCAAAATAAAACGTATTATACCTTTTTAAAAATTAAAACATGATATGCACTTTGAATGTTATTTACTTGACAACTGAAAATATAACTTTGCTTGTCGTTTAAATAAAAGTCAATAAATGATAGTTTTGTTTTCTAACATACTTATTATGTAGCTTATCAAATTTAAGTTAGATATTTCTAAAGATCACAATCCCAAAGATGTTTGAATGTGAACCAAAGCTCCTGGCGAAGTCATCGTTTACGATACAAGTTTGTATGGGACGAAATTCTCCGTCTTGATAGATCTCAGGGTCTGCCCCGTATGTCACCTGTCGTCCATTGGAACACAAGAAACCTTCAATATAGTCGGCACGTCTGAGCTTGTCTCTAATTTTAGAAACTTCTGGACTACGCGGAAAACCTTTACGACACGCAGTGACCACTTGTCTCCATTCTATGACGTCATCAAATTTAAGTCCCTTTCCACTTTCCATTTCCGTTTCCAGAACTTTGTATATAATAACAGCCTGGGCAGGGTTGTGTTGCTTGAAACGACGTGTCCATTTCATGGCAGTTTTAAAATTATTTATCACATAAAATCCCCCTCCGTGGGAAAAGTCCAAACGTTTTTCTCCCTCTTCTACGCGGATTCCATTCTGAATAATATCTTCTGCAAACTGTAAGGAGGTCGCATGGTAATAATAATGGCAGATTTCACCATTTAATTTTTTCCTTAACTTTTTTACCTTATTATTGGCCATTTCTAAGTCTTCTAAAGTAAAATTACTTTGTGATTGTAGATTTAGAACTTTAATTGTAAACAAGGTATCATAGTCTGTTCGTTGTATATCACATGTTTCCCATATGTTGTAGCTTGATGTATTTTCAAAAAGGTGAGCTGATGTTATTTCTGTAGTCAAGGGGTTGGACAAAATTAAGCCTTTAAAATATTTTGTGATCCAATACAGTAAAGAATACATGTTAACAAATTCCTCACCGACATAATCCGTATAACGGTTAGCTGACTCATCTGACAAGCCAATCCTAAGCATGCAATCATAGAGAGAAACAGACTGGTCTGTCTCTTCTATAGCCTTGACATTGTTCTCCAACCACCTGCTCAAAACGTGAAGCAGATCTCGATGGTCAATGAACTCGGTGTCCAGATCAAGCAGGTACTTCTCAAATAGAATATTTAGGCCAAACATGGAGCAAATTAATTGCGGCTCAGTTACTTTTATGCTGTCTTCATTTGCCATTTGTGACAGATTAATTTTTTTACCTGAAAGTATATCTGTTTTGATCTTTATATTATCTAATTGAAGAGAGACATCTTGATCAGAACTTGATAGCTGAGGATTTACAGCTGAACCTAGAGTTACGCTAACTTCTATTGACAGGTTGCGGAGGACTCTTAATGTATCAACATCTTTCACGTTTACCTGTTATTAAAATAACGTCGCACATTAGAAAGTTACTTTAATAAAATTAAGTGATATTTATTTTTACTATAACTGTCAGTTAATGAAATTAATTATACTAATACTACACAAAAATTGCAATTAAATAAACGCAACTTTGAGTTTACACTAGTATATATGTCCTTGAAAAAACGTAAGTAAAAACAAAACTTCTTACATTTTCTGCAAGTTTCTCATCAATGATATTAACAATACGTTTGATGTATTCAACAAGAAGTAAAAATTCCAGGTAAATGTTAGAATTTTGTAAAGATTCTCTATCAATTTCTGACATCACCAAACAGCCGTTACAGTTAGGTGACACCTCCTGTACATGTGTTAAAGAATGTAATTTCCCCCGAAAGTTGAGAAGTCTGAAGAATCCTGACTCGATGGGTTGGCATGTCTTGTCACAACCCCAGACGTTTTGTAGGAGTAATGGTGTGTTAGTAATATCGAAGAAAAAGTCCCAGTAAAAACTGATCACAGCAATCATTTTGTTTTGCAAGGTTAACGTTGGTTTGATCTGTGTGATTTGCTTTTTAATATAAATAGAAACATAATATTTAAATCATTTACAAAGGCAAGCTAAAAGAAAGTTCATTTAAATCAACTGATCATAAGGTTCATAATGGCTGCGAGACACTTACACACATCACAATCACATCACACCTCACAATTTTACTGGCATCTATCACACGCTAGCACTTGTCCAAACACAAGTCAACTGGCATTCTCCTGGTTAACAACTACTACTCCACAAAGCAACATACAATACCAAAAGCAAAATAATATCCATTATTAAGTGCTACACATATTAGCACAACACATGCACAACAAATGGTGCGCCAAAACAATCAATAAGAAAAAAAAAATTTCCTGCATCCAATTTTAATTCCGTATCGTCATTATCATCCCACTTTATTAAAAAAAATAATAATATACCATTAAACAAATACTATTTAAAAACAACTTACATGTAAACATATTTTACGTGCTAAAAACAAAATCAGAAGTGCAGCCACAATTATCGAAATCGGAATAGTTGTCAATGCATACACAATATCTGAAAATAAGTTTAATAACACATTAGAAATAAAACATAGGGTATGTATTGTAAATTTCAGTAAAACCCACATTTTAAAAAATATTTTCATTTTCTTTTGTGTTAAGTGTACAAACCAGCTATTTTTTTTCTGTAGTTGTGGGTTCATTTTTAATACACGTTAAAAAAACGAAAATCGTATTCAAAGAACTCAGTTAATTATTCATACCACGAATAACTCATAGTTTACATTAAATTGTTTTCAAATCACCGCTTGTAGGTGCTCGAAAAAAAACATGTATTGTGACTCTTGCAATAAAATGTATTATTAAATTGATAACTTCATTAAAATAAGTGTTGTTTTTTAAAATATATTTGTATATATATATATATATATATATATATATATATATATATATATATATATAAATATATATATATATTACAAAAAAAGCACAACAGTTCATATCACCATATATGGAAGTTAAATGACTATGAAAAGTTAGCATCTGAAATACTTAAAATAATAATATAGAAACTGCATTGCTCTCAAATGTCTCTTAAAGACATGACGTGCAAAAAACGAAAATTATGGCACGTTTTGTCTTTTTTCTATTCTTGAAATACACTCTTTTATGCTGACGAAGACCTTGATTTGAATACCCATATTACCTGTAAGTATCTTTAATTTGTGAGCAGTGGCGTAGGCAGGGGGGGGGGGGTAGGGGGGGGTAAACCCCCAATGGACTCCTCTATAAAAAAGTTACCGTCATAATACCACTGTTACTTATTTAAATCTATTTTTGAATCAGTATATATGTATACAGTGGTGAATGAAGTTGAACCCCTTCCCTCCAACCCACCCCGAACTGATCTGTTAAGTACCTTTGGGAAAACACGTAATGATGTACCCAAGTACAATGCCGCCAGAATCATAGCTTTTGAAACGTAAAACTCTGTGAATATTGTTTTTGCAATAACAAGTAAAAAGGCGTGAGAGCAATACAATGATCTAGCCCATACCTGACTATTATTTTAAAAATGATCTTTAAAGAACACAAAAAAGCAGTAGATAATTAAAAAAAATTATGATCTGAACTACAAGACCGATGTTCAGTTATAAGTAGGCTATAATTCTGAATGTTTTTTTTATTATATTGAAAAGCGGGTTTTATATCAACTCTGATTTTAAAACAACTTTCATTATTGTGTTGTGTTCATTGTGTTTGGTTGTAGTGTGTGTATATAATGTTTAGATTTGTCGGCCAGCATTCTGCGTTTTTTCTTAATTCTTCAGAGCGCTACTTTTACAGCAAAGCAATGACATACAACTAGTATATATATATATATATATATATATATATAATGATAGAAAAAATGTAACCCCCCCATGAGACGATCTTGTCTACCCCACTGTTTGTGAGGATACTAACTCGCCAATAAAATAGTATAACATAATAGAGATTATAAATGAATATACCTTTCAAGGTGATAAATGATTCATCATTTGTGTTCAGAGCCAGAAGATTTCTTTCTCCGTCATCATGACTGCCTTGCTTTTCTGTGTAACTGGGTGCATCCTCAGTAAATTTGTTATCAGTATTGACAGTAGCGCCATGTTTTAAAAGTAATTTTATAGTCTCAGTATCACCCACTTGTAAAGCAATCTTCAGTGCATTGTTATTGTTTTCGTCAAATTGATGTACATCTGCTCCGTATGCAAGAAGTAACTTAACAATATTGTAATGACGTTTAGTCGCTGCTATAATAAGAGCAGAAGCACCATTGTTACTTTGGTGGTTGACCCTAGCATGGTTTTTTAGCAGCAATTCTACACAGTTATAGTGACCAAATATTACAGCGGATTGTAAGGCAATGAATCCCGTGTTGTCAAATTTATTTATATCGGCTCCGTTTTTTAAAAGTAATTGAACTATCTCAGACTTTCCTGATTCTGCAGCCTGCATAAGATGACTTTGACCGGCATAGTTAATGCCATCTACATTGGCACCATTCTTCAAAAGTAAATCTACTGTTTTAAAATGCCCATTTTTAGTGGCCAATGCTAACACACTTTCTCCATATTGACGAGATTGAGAGTTAATATTTGCTCTCATTTTTAACAAATATTCAACATTTAAATCATCTCCCTTATTTGCAGCGTAGTGTAATAAGGTCCAGCCACTTTCATCTTTAGTGTTTATGTCAAAATATTTAAAATATACATCAAGAATCCGATGCTTATGTTCGCAAAAAGCAAAGAGAAGTCCGTCGTCGATTCTTCTATACCTCAGTATCATGTCCACAACCTTAGTATAGCCTTTGTCAGTAGCTAGAAGTAACGCTCTACTCAATGTCTCCACCTTTATGCTTTCCAATTTTTGTGTCAGAAATATCTCTACAACATGAAAGTGATTGCGCAGAACTGCCAGTAAAATAGCGTTAAGTCCGTTCCCAACCTCGGTGTTTATATCAGCACCGTATTTTAGTAAAATTTCAACTATCCTTGCATGTCCTGACAACGATGCTAACATGAGTGGCGTCAAACCGTTTGGCAAAGTTATTTTTAAATCAGCGACATGATCCAGTAACATCTGAACAACCACGTGATGACCCTGTTGTGATGCCAACATTAAAGCCGTCTCTCCGTGTCTAGACTTTATATTGACATCAACGTTTCTGGCCAGTAAACTTTTTACACGGTCGATGTTACCGATGTAGGATTCTGTCAACAAGAATGTGTAGCCATCTTCATAGAATGGATTTATGGTTAAACATGAAGATTCGCTTTTCATCAGTCTACCGAAATAGTCCCATAAAGAGATAATACTTTTGTAAACAGCTGCAATTTTTGAAGGTATTGTTAAATCAATCAGCTGTTCACACAATTTTTGTTCTATCAATAGCTTTAATTCATTCGGCATATTGAAAGGTTGCAACGGCCCAGATTTTACTGCGCTGAAGATCATTAAGCTGAAGCAGACACTTGTAATCTTCATTTTAAAGTTTTCGTCAAACATCTCGTGAACGCTTTCTAAATAATAAAAGTTATGGTCAATGGTAAATCATAATATATCGACAGAGCTAATTAATGAAGCATTGATTTGATCGATAAAATTATATAGTGTGACAGACACTTTATAGGGCGAAATATTAAGACAACTTTTGTTCAATGAAAAAATATAGGTTAAAGAATTCTAGAAGACATTTCTAACAGAACCGCTTACATACAAATGTGTGTCACTAATACACCTATTCAAACGGACGTTTTCGCAAACTGGAAAGTTCTAAAATAAATTGATTTTTGTTACTGCAAAATATCCTGTCTTGTCACGTTTTACTTAGTTTTATTTCTACCTTGACGTTTTGAATATTATTTTTCTTCACGATAGTTCACGATAGTTGGTATTTTAACAATAACTTTAAAGACATTTATTTAAAATTAAGGAGAAATTATTTTTTTCACAGTCATAATTATTCATAATTGAACAAAATATATAAAATAAAATATAATTTTTAGATTATCGTTTTTAGCAGTAATCTTATAAAATTTTATTTTCATTTTTAGGTACGTAATTAAATTAAAAAGTATTAACTGTTAGACAAAGTAGGAGATATAATTTTTGAATCTAATGTAAATAACGTAAACTCAAAATTGTCGAATTATTAATATATAATAGTATTGGTACAGATTGGTAAGTAGACATCAAAACAATGTTTAAGAAAATTTTACAAATAACTATCTGTTACATTGACATTTTTACCGTTTTAAAGAGAATCCATGCACCTTCAGCTACTCTATGCAAACGTACGTCTATACAGTGTGACTTAAATATAGAAAGAACATTATGTATTCATCTGAACTTTAACCTCTTTACTTTTCATATCCTGGCTAAACCAGTGAAAAAAATCAATAACCTTTATGTTCTTTTACTTATTCGTTCGACGATCAAAATATATTATTTACTTTTAAAATATGGAGTGAAATCTATCAATGTAATGTACACTGTTAACTCAGTTAAGAATTCAAAGGTTCAATCTAAAATATCAATACGTTTTTTCTTGATATTCTCCACAAACGTAGTCCGTTTGCTCACTAACATTGGTGAAACTTTACACAGTAGTATATAGCGTAATGTAGTGATCACCATACTTAAATAGACATATTACTTTCATGATGATGAAATGAAACAAAATACTCCATATATAGAGCTTAAATGCAAATATAATGAGCAAAGATTAAAATATTACATTTTAACTGTTGTTAACGGGATCCAATATTCTTTTAATATCAAACTGATGAGAAATAATTTTCTGTGGAAATAGACTTTCCAAAACATTCAGAGGAAGTGTACGGTGGGTGAGGGGGTGTCCCCATTTATGGGGTGACACCAATTCAAAAATCTTAAATTATATTCAATGACAAAACTATGTTTAACAATAGAAAATAAATGGGGGATTCGATATCAAATCGAAAATTCAAACTTCGCGATACGGGTAAGATAATTCACTCAGTTTACCTCTCAGTGTGAGACTAGACATAGAAGCCTCTGTTCCATGACAAGAATCAATGTGGTCATCTGATGCGTGTATTAAGTTATTGGGAGATAGACACAACACCCCCCACGTCTATATTATATTCGCCTCCCCCAACATTAGTCCCAGGAGCAATTACCCTTCTGTCACCCCCCCTAGTGTTAAGGTTAGGGTTAGGTTTGATTGGTGTTACATTTTATGTTAGAGTTAACATTAGCAATAGGTTTGTGTTTGGGGTTTGGTTTATAGTCAGGGTTCTTCTTTATTGAGCGAAATGGAGAGGGGTGAGGGAGGGGGGTAATTCACAGGGAGGTAATGACTCGGGGTAATGTCAAGTTGGGGGGAATGTTTGGTGGGGGTAATTGCCGAGTTGGAGGTAATGTCATAGACACAAGTCATTTGTTTTTTAAACTTTTTTGTTACTGTACTGTTATTTTTAGATAATATTTACATTAGCATTTCTTCTTTACTTTTTTTACTTTAATTATTTAAATTTAATTACAAATTCTGAAATTGTAAAATATATATTCAAAGCTTTAATAACTGTCTTTGATTTGTCGCTGTTTATTTGCTCTTTTCGTTGATACTGAAAATGTTTAATTAAATCCTATTGACAAATACGAATTTAAGAGTAATTGCTACTTTTGTTTCAACTTCAAGCAAAATTTTCTTGTAGTTTGCTATAAATGATAAATGTTAATCGTGCATTGAATGTTTATATTATGTTGACACACAAATGCATTCAGCGATTCAATTAGTGTGTGTTAAAAATACAACGTCAGTCAATACACTTGAAACCTGATTAAACCATTCGGTGTCATAAATAGGCCCATACCAAACAGAAAATGTTAGCTTATGAAAAGAAACTTTCAGTAATGTCCTTACCCCGGGTTAAGAATATCGATCTGAAGAAATGTCAGTATAACAGTCATGTATCGAATTTATATATTGATTTTTTAATAAATTACATATTTTATCATGTGAGACACTGTCTTAATTTCTACGTCAATATTTGTCTTTTATTTTATAATTTGATGGTGACAATGTAATTATTGATACCACAAACACGTAGCGTTGTTAAAAAATTAAAATGTATTTATATGTACATCTGAGTAAATTGGTTCAATTATTTAATAGATATCGTTTAAACTCTTTCACCTGGGAAATTAACTTTAAAATTAAGATCGATATAACAGTGTTTCTCAATAATCTATTGGCTTCCGATCTGCATCTCTTTTTTTTAAAGAAAATGCTTAAGCCTACATAATATAAATCAAAGCAGCTCAGATGCGTAGCGACCCCTCCCGGCGCCTGGTGACAAACTTGTATTTTTTAATATTAATTTTATAATTAATAATTCAAAACTGCAGCTAAAATGAGCTTTTAATTTTTCTCAACCCATTATGGCGCCCCTAGCGTCGACGCCCGGGGACACCCCCCCGACACACCCCTCTCCGCTTCGCTACGCCTCTGAAGCAGCTGTGTTCGCAAAAATATATGAGATCTCATGAGTGACTAAAGTTTTTAGTTCATTTAAATGCTTGTTATAATATGTTTGTTTTTTGTTTTTTTTATTTTCCACTTATTAGTCATTCGTTGTAAATGAAGTTGACACTACATAGACTACAACTAAAATAATATGCGTTCAAAACCGACCGATACTTTTAAAAGACAGCTGCCCTTAGGAAGTGGATAACGTTCAGGAAACCAACCGTTATCCAACATCCGGCGTAAACCACAGCTCATCAGACTGATCAGCCGATCGCTTATAGCTAATCATTACAATTTTATAATTGAATATGGTAATATTTGAATTAATTTTTTTTAATACTTACATAAAGTCTAGTTAGATTAAAATTAAATATACTTGTATTTTCATAGTGGAAGGAGGTATCTGAAACGTTTGAACGAAATCGCCGCCATAATTATAAGTTGGTCTACATTGAGTAACAAGATTTGCCACAAACCCACACACGAATGCTGGCAACTAAGTAAAAGCTTGTAATCATAAACCAAGCTTGCGTTTTATAAATACAGCAGTGGTCATTTATGAAATAACTTACATAATGAGGTTAGTTTTAAATATGTAGCTAGTTGACAATAATGTAGATACATTATAACTCAGTAAAAATAAGTACAGAACTGTATTCAACCTAAATCGCTGCCATGATGAAATGTATCACTTTTCTAATAATTCTTGAAAAATGTATCCAACGGCATTACTTTAGTAATACTTTTAACACACAAAAAGAATACACAAGGCACAAGATATAAGTACAATAATTGTTTTGTTGTTGTTGTTTTATTTCAATTTCAAATATAAGAGAATACTGAAAATTGTCTAAGAAAGATTTAGAAACATTTCAACGTTATACAGATATGACATATATTACAATTTTAATTTATTAAAAAAAACAGTTTTAAATATATTTTATTAATAGCGTAAATAAAAATAAAATACACAACTTATGCTATACATTCATAAAATTTGAGTTTGAATGTTCGTTTATGTGAGGTATAAACGAGGTTTCGATGCAAAATATTAAAAAAAAAACATTTTCAAGGGGATGGCTAAAACGTTATTGTTTACAATTTATAATATATTAAAAGAACAACTTTAGAGACCTAGATCAACAATAATTATACAGCTTACAACCTTTCTTGAAAATATATACAAATAAATGTAATTTTTTAAATATAGATAATAAATGATGACTGTACTCTTAAAAAAATAGAAATTAGCATTTATATACAAAACTATTGTCTGCAACGAATCTTCATTTCTAAAAAAAAAATAAACTTCTACTCTAAATGACTTAAGTTATGATCTCACATCATTCGGCATGAGTCAAACAAATATTAGGATCAAGTCTAACAGTCTAAATTTTGTTCACGGATTTTTTTATTTTTTTTTATTTTTAGTTTTCATTAATTATTTATCAGCGTTTCTGCTGACAAAAACAGAATATATGTCAAATTTTAAATGTAATAACAGATTTAAAAACAATTTGTTAATTGTAATACGCTTATAATTAAAAATTAAATAAAATATATGGTCTCATCTATTTCAAAGACCTTCCAGCACAATATAATTCAAATGACTTGATTACAACACATTTTCTCTAACTTTACTACTAAGCAGCCAATTTTAAAAAAAAGGATAAAACGAATAATAATTGGAAACAGGTTCAATAACAGTTAATACTTACTGAACAAAAGTATTAGCTAGATATGAAAAACTAAGTTTTATTATATTATAATCAAATCTAAATACCTAAATATATTAAATTATATGACAAGTTTCAGATTAAAATTGTTTACGTAAAAAATGTAAAGGTGAACATTGCATGTTAGTTAGCATGAGGTTCAACTACTAGTACGAACACACCGTGTATATTAGCAATCTTGCAATGTATATTTTTTGATCGTACTATAAAATCATTATAATTTACTGAATACAATGATGCAGAATATAAAAACTAAAGAAGAAAAGTAATGGACAAAATACGGTAGCAACACTTTAAACGTATTTCAATTCAAACACTTGCCAAAAAGAGTAAAATAACAAGCACAATATGACTTATATTTAACAGTATGTTATTTTTATGTGTAATAGTCGTCCCTTAAAAGGTATAATCTACGTATTACAAAAAAAAAATATTATATTATAAAAAAATGGTATAACAAACAAAGGTAATGATGTGTTTAAAAACTAATTGTAGATGTCAAAATTGAAACCAAAAAGACTGAAACATTGTATTATAGAAATTATTTTTATTAAGATATAATTTTTAAAAATTATTTTTCAAGTGATCAAAACACAATTTTTACATAATAGTTATTGTTTTTATTCAAATACTTGTCACAAGTAGAAGTATTATTATAAAGATACTTTACTGTATTCCCAGCAGAAAATGGTCCGTCTGTAGTAACTCTTCAGCTGACGGTCTCTCTTTGAAATCCACTGTCAAACATTTATCTATAAACTCTCTGAGCTCTTTAGACGTGTGTTCTGGTAGCTTTAAAACAGGTTTTGTCTTTGTTCCAACTCTAAACAAAACACATTGGCTTTCAATAGAAGCTGAGGGTGGTTTCTTGGTTATCATCTCAACTACTGTACATCCAACACTCCTGCAAAAATACATACTCAATTTTTGAAGATGTAAAGTATCTTATTAAAAAATTTATTTATACTCTGCAAGTAAGCGTAATTATGAAAGATACTGTATAGTCATATATATATATATATATATATATATATATATATATATATATATATATATATATATATATATATATATATATATATATATATATATATATATATATATATATATAAACACATTTTCATTTGGTTTACAAAATACAATAAATAATTTTGCTTTTCAAATCTTCAAGTTATTAACAAAAACTGTGCTCGTAATTTTATTTTGCTAAACGATTTTTAAGATATTAGCGTACACTCAAGGCTCTCCTCTTAAAAAGAGGATTGGTAACGGAATGATGAAACCCTTATAAAATATTAATTTGGAGATCGGATTACTTTTATCTATTGCAAAATGTATAATTCTTATCTTGATAACAGTTTTGTAAATGAACATTTAACAATATAAATCTTACTGAAATATATCTTACTGAAATATAATTTAGAGAGAAATAACTGTTGATCCGTAAGTAAGATACTTGTGGCTGAATTATCTATAGGTTGATTGAAAACTAAACACACACACACACACACAAATAATTGAATGTTCAAAAAATGCATATATTGTCTTTGAAAAATGCACTTTATTATAAAAGTAAGTCTAGCCGATCTTTTAAGAAAACTTAAACATTTAGAGATATTGTTCTATCTTAGTTAATACCTGTATATGATTTTAAAGTAGCATCATCAACACAAGTAGCTGATTTTGCGGTTAGAAATGTCGCAATCATATGTAAACATTTCTGATGAACATAGAACTGAAAAGGTTCAAACTTGACCATCGCGGCATATTCCTCTATGACAACCAACATGTACTTTTGTATTTCTTCTGGTGATGGTGAATTCGATTTCTACGTCAAAATAGATAAATTCCTCAGCTTAAAATACAATAACTGTTGTAATAATTCATAGTATCATATTTTAGGTTACAGAACAATGTTTTTTATGAATAATTTATTCAGTAAGTAGAAAGTTAAGTATATCTTAGTAATTACAGGCTATATAAATTTAAGCAAGAACAAATTACTGACCTGTCACAATGAATATTTAATATTTTGTTTCCTTTTCCATGAGAGGAAACGTATACTTACATTGTACATATCTATTTAGCATATCTGAAATACTAAATAAGCTCGAACATATACAGCATGCAGGGTGGCAAAAGGGGGTGTTTTGCTGGTGTTAGATCCAAGAAAAGAACAACAGAATAACAACTGTCTGATGTTAATTGACAGCTACTTGTAATGAGTGAAGTCAGTGTGTGTGAAATTTCCCAGCTCTAAATACTTGATATTTCCTACGGCATAGAGGGCAATTCCAATATTTAAAAAAAAATTTACGAACAATTTAAGTAGTTAAGTGTTCTAACCGTGTCAACCTTTGCTTGCTTTAAACTGCGAAGGCACATCAATGATCTGGAAATATATATATATATATATATATATATATATATATATTCAGGGGCGTAGCGAGGGGGGGGGGGTTGCGGACCGCACCGGGTTACTCCATTTAGGGGGGTGACACCAAGGCAAAAAATAGCAAAATATATAGAGAAAAACTTGAGGGGGGGGTGCAAATTGAAAGTTTGAGGGGGTTGCAAATCGAAAACTTGAGGGGGGGGGTGCAAATCGAAAACTTGAGGAGGGGTGCAAATCGAAAACTTGAGGGGGGTGCAAATCGAAAATTTGTAGGTTTGTCCCCGGGAAGGGTCGCAACGCCTCTGGGGGGGGGTGACACCATTAAGTGCCGCACCGGGTGACACCCGACCTCGCTACGCCACTGTATATATTATATATATAGGCTTACATACATACATTTAAATGTATTTTAAAAAATTATTCTGCTACACATTTTAATTAAAAACTTAACTATCTTTAAAAAATATCTAGGCTTACATAAGAATAAAAATAAATTCTACGTACCCTTTAACCTTTTCATAGTTTAAAAGTGTTGGATTGATTGTCGAAGCTGAGCATTGTGATAGTTTCGCTACAAGTATTGATTAGGAAACAAGCATAAGTCAACAAATTAAGTTTTATTTACGACATTCTTTTTACTCTAATTATATTGATTAGTCGATATGCCGTAATATCTCACCTTCAAAGTTAATAATACGGGTTCTTATCGTCTCAAAACTCCTTTCATTTTCAATGGCGAAGTAAAGGTAAAACCAAAAACAAAAGCTCCTCTTCTCATAGATATTGCGATAAAAACTAGGTTCCAACACAAGAAAGTGCATGTTGTCAGCCAAATAAAATAACGTGCTCATTTGTTGTTCAATAATTAGTAAGTCGCACTTGCAAGATATTGTGTCAATCACTGTTGATACCTCGTTCTTTTTTATTTTCAACGAAATTATTTGTATACATTTAGGGCTATCGGATTGGGTTGGACTTGCAGTATTGTACAAGGGTGTTTTATGGATTTGTAGAATGTCCGCAGTTGGTATGAGGAGAGCCGAGCGTTTTGCACTGGCTTTAGTATTTCTAGAACATTTTTTCAAGTTGTTGTCATTCGGATATGTTTTAACAACTCTCTGTAAAAGTGCTTGTAAAATTATATATCTGTCTTGTTTTGCTGCCAAGGCTAACGGTATAGAATAAAAAAAAGATTCATTACGGCATACATGTTTTTTGACTGTGTCGGAATTTAGTGACATCTCGACAATTTCTGAACACCCTACCTCTATAGCTGCATATAGAGATAGTTCACATCTATCTCTATTTTTTATTAAATACTTGGCGATTTCTAAATAATGTTTCATAATTGCCATTGTCAAAACAGTTTGGTGATGTTTATTTATTCTGTCCAGCTCCGCCCCATTTTGAACTAACATCTTGATCACATCGAGATGGTCAGTCACAGTAGCAAGACCTAAAGCAGTGTAATCTTCAGTATTCACTGTATTTAGTTCTGGCTCGTGTTTGAGTATTTCACGTACAACCTCGACATGACCGAACTGTGAAGCGATCATCAGAGCAGTGTTTCCATAATTGTTACATTTATTGACGGGGGAATTATGTTCCAACAACATTTTCGTTATTTCATGCGACCCCTTTTCAGCAGCTAAATGCAATGCCGTGTTTCCAGATTTTGATGAGACACTACAGTCAGCTGACATACTCAAAAGAAAAGCTACCGTGTCCACTCGACCATGACCGGAAGCGTGCATTAAAGCCGTAACTCCGTAACTGTCCTGAAAATTAATCATGCTAGCTTTAAATTGTTTTGATTTACAAATTTTCTCAACGATTTCTGTGTATCCATCTATAGAAGCAAATATTAATGCATTTACGCATTCTTTGATTTCAAACAAATCAATCTTTGCGTCTTTTTCAAGTAACTGTGTAACTATGTTACTAAAACCCCGATTCGACGCTAACATTAGAGGACTTACGCCATTGTTAAGAACACAGTTACAGTTAACATCATTTCTTAACAATAGCTCAACTATGTTCTCGTGCCCATAGAAACATGCGAGAAGTAAAGCATTTACTCCATGTTTGGCTTTAGCTTCCAAATCACATTGTTTCTCTATCATCATTTCAACAATCTCTGCCATGCCATTCTCAACAGCCATATGTAAAGCAGTTAATTCAATTTTGTTTTTCAAATTTATATTGCTATTATCTGTAATCAACAGCTTGGCAATACCACTATTTCCATAATAGCAAGCAAACATTAAACTTGTATTCCCGTTATTGTCTTGAACATTTATATTAACTTTTTGTTCTAGTAAAACTCTTACAACTTCTATGAAATCCAATTGTGTCGCCAATATTAACGCTGGAATTTTTAGGGATCTTATGAAATCATCTTCACAAAATGTTGCATCAATTATATTTAAATGTTTCAGAAAATTTTTGAAACCGTTATTATATTGTAGATTTTCATCAATTTGCCGGGGTTCCGTTCTAACAGCATCGGCCATCATATTTAATATTCTCATAGAATATTGTTCTTGCATCGTTCTTAAATGGCTGTAAGATGGAGTTGGAATACCTCCTTCATAATCAGCACCCTGTTTAATTAATAGCTCAACAACTTCGGCGTGTCCAGCCTTAACTGCCAACACAAAAGCATTTTCTCCTTTATTATTTGTTGTGTTAATACTAGCGCTTTTATTTATGAGTGCTTGGACAATGTCAGAGAATCCATTTTGTGCCGCATACATTAATGCGTTGTAACCGTTTTTATCTACAATAGTGTAATCAGCTTGGTTATCTAAGAGTGATTTCACAATGCGAACATTTCTATTTTCTGCAGCGATGATAAGACAGCTTTTATTTATGTAATTTACCATGTTGCAATCAGCTTTATGTTTTATTAACAAATCCACAACATCCCCGTGTCCACCTAAAGTAGCCAGCATTAAAGCAGTGAATCCGAAATTAACTTTTACATTCACGTCTACGTCATATCCTAGCAGCACTTCGACTGTTTTAGCATGTCCCATAGCAGAAGCCAGCGTTAAAGCGCTCATACCGGCTGAGTTTATGAAATTATAATTAGCTTTTCGGCGTATCAACAAATCAACAATATAATAGTGACCGTTAAATGCAGCCATCATTATCGCATTGATTCCATTGCTTGTTAAGGCATTACAGTCAGAGCCTTGATCTAGAAGAAATTCAGTCAGGTCAGCATGACCTCTGATGGATGCCTGCATCAGGGCCGTTAACCCATCATAGTCTGTTGTGTTGATATCTATTTGATGTTCCAATATATACCTAATCCTCTCAATATCACCAACAAAAGCCGCGTTATGTAGCTCAATCCTGTATAATTGTCCATGAAGACCATCCATGTCTTGTCGTAACGACATATTTTTTAAAAGGAATGAAATACTGCCTATCTCCACCAGTTTGAACATCAGAATTCTGAAACAATGTATGCATTTTTTAAACATGTATTTGTAGGAGTTTATGTCAAGTATTGCCGTATGATTACTTCATTTAAAAGACTACAGATGGCAACAAGGTTTACTTAAAAACATGCATAAATGTATAACTAAGCAGGCCTATCTAAACAGCTACACGGAAAAGAAAAAGTAAATAATATAATGTATTAAATACAAGGTTGCCGAAAAGCAAATAATACGTTGACTATACAAAGAGGCGTATACTGGTTTTCGGGGAAGGGGGAGCAGCGAGTCGAAAAAAAAGGCGTCAACTAGGCCTGTATATATATATATATATATATATATATATATATATATATATATATATATATATATATATATATATATATATATATATGACATTGCTTCGCTAAGGTGAAAAATGTATTCCTACATTACTCTGTAGAAAACAAAAGTGCAAAACACCATGTAGGCCGACAACACACAAAATTTATTACATAATATACAACACCAAATAGGTTATATACACTACACAACCAAAATCAAGAAACGCAACGCAATCTGTTTTGTAGTCCTTGTAATAAAAAACTATTTTACATAATTGAATAATAATTAAGACAAGCGAACAACAGTAACAACATAATCACTTTATAACATTAATATGTATATGTCTACACATTTAACTGTAATTGTAAAATTCATATGTTTCCAAGATTTAACAGAAATTCTTTGCGAGAGACGGTCACTACCAAATGAAATAGGAAACAAGTGTCAGATGTGTCGTAACATGCTAATAAAACAGCCAAGATTGACTTTTACAAATTCTCCTCTTCTAAATACATTCCTGTAACGTTCTCAGTTGAGTGGCTGGCGGTTTAAACGGTTTTCGCGGCTTAACACATCTCTGTTATGTTAAATTAATATTCGGAAATAAGATAAAGTATCATTTCGTTTACCGGAACTCGCTCAAAGCAATATAGAAACATACGTTCATAAGAGCTAACTATACTTATTACTATCTACATAAAACTAGGTTCAACATAACTGAAATTTAGTTATATTAAAAACTTGAAATTAAATATAGTATCATTTCTATTAAATGGACATTGGTTTAAAAAAAGAACACACACACAAAAACACACACAGACCCACACACACACACACATACAAGCAAACAGGCAGACATATAGATACATAATATAACCTTACCGTCAATTGTGGCTCACTTTCAACCAAACTGCTTGGTATGTACATTGCAAAAATTACCACGATAAATCTATTAGAGAATTGAAATTGCGAATTTTAAGTGTGTGTGTCTTTATAAATACATTTTATTTCAAATCTACAATACGTCTATGTTTGTTTATTCGTATTACATCATTTGATGACTGATGTAGTGTGTGATAATAAAATAATCAGATTAGTACATACAAGAACCATGTCACAAAACGAACTGTTATCAGCGACAGGGTCTAACGCACGACGTGATCGGCGCTGACTAGATTAGATAGTGTTAGAAAATAAACAACACAGATACATTAAACACAAACAGCTATCTATTTGACTCCACGATAGTTGATGTCAAGATAACGAACAATCATTTAAACTTTGTTCACGTAGACCATAAAACAACAACAGGGGAGGTTACTTTAATTATGCTACTTCGCATGACTAATTAAGCTAGTTCCCTTGCATAACTTACAATACTACAATTGCTATCCAAATTATGCTTTACGACACAAAATAAATACTACGAGCTGACCCGCTACGTAGCATACGCCGCTATCTAGTTGTTTTATTTTCTACTTATCAACAATTGCAAATTTGTGAATTCAACACTACCCCCCCCCCTGTCTCCCCCAACCCCACCCCACCCCGCCTAGTGAAAGCAGCCGTTTACAGACGACAATGAAAATATCAAGCAGAACTTATTATCTCCCATTAGTTTCAAATTGTTTAAAAACTAAATTATCTAATAGCCGTCACGTATTCGAACCGGCTCAACTATTGTAAACATTCGGGGTTAACCATAGCTCACTTTACAGGTGGGGATGAGGGTGGTGGCTAAGCTGCGTGGTGTTTTCTGAGGTCTCCATGAAGAGAATTATATATATATAGATTACAACTTGTTAGAAAATGCACAAAGGTTTTATTTTCAATAATTCTAATGGTATCGTATTTAATGAAAAAGCTAAGACATTCGACATATTTATTTATTTGATAATTATTTACTAGGGAAAATAAATCTGATAATGGACGAGTCAGCTAAGGAGACTTACAGCCGTGATATTCAGGCACGTGCTGGTACTTGTTTTGTGTGAGTGTGTGAAGATTGAATCAAGGTAAAATGAGACGGCTTTATTAAAAATTTGAACATTTACTACTTTATGAAGCGAACGTTTATTTTTTTAGATTTTGCCATGTGTGAGGGACGTAAAGGGGCCTCCGGGAGCCCCCGGTTACATTACCGATTTGACACCGCGTATAGCCACTGACTCGGTTTGATAACATAACGTCGTCTGTCACCGTGTCAATATTGCAGAGTGCTCTTTAAAACGAAGTTTGGTGCCATAGTGCTCACACTGATATCCCGGGATGCCATATCGCACCCTGCCGGGCCACCGGCGTACTCGCCTGATTCAATTTAGAAAACAACTAAATAACTCATTATCCACAGTCTATCGCACTGTTTAAAACGAACGTAGGCGTCATGTGAGGTAAATATGAAATGTTTTTTTTTCTCTTAACCTTGACAAAAAACCTTATACAAAACTTTAACATGAACCTAAACTTCAGCTGCAACATAACCCGCACATTAATTTAAACTTAGCACCAACGTCAACGTTAACCCTTACAACGTCAACGTTAACCCTTAAGCCTATTTTAGCCCTAACCATCTAAACCTAACCCTTTCCCAAACTTTAAGCATAGCTTTAAATTATACACCAACCCTAATACTAACACATGCCGTAACCATTTTTCTCTTAAGATTAACCTTACCCGATTTCCAACCTCAGAAACCTAACCTTTACCTACTTTTATTCCTAATCCTACTCTTAACAATTGTCATAACCTGATCACAAACTTAACATTACACCCCAACAGCAACGCTCCCGATTACACAACTCCAATTATAAACTTACTACTTACTAATTTTATTAATTTTGCTACCGCGGTATTATATTATCCATATTTCCTGTTTTTTACAAATATTTTTACAATCCCTATTAATGTTGGACAAAGATTTTAGATAGTAATTTTTACATTTGTGTTTCTTTCCCTGTTTTGTGTTTTTTCCGAAACCATATATTTTTATTTTAATCTTTAAATCCACTAAGAGAATCAGAATGTATAGATTGACACTACATTGTAAAAAAAATTGTATAATTACTTTTAAAAACTAGAAAATAAACTGGTCGGGGCAATGGGTGACATATAACTATAAATGCCAAACTGTTGCCGACTTAACTGAACCATGAACCCTAAGATTTGAAAATGCACTTTATTTTTACATTTAAGAGCATTTTTGTCAGACTGTCAAACAGAATAGGGAAATCATATTTTAATTATATTACCTGATAATTTCGGGAATTTCCAAAACTAATTTTAGATATTAAAAACGGAAAAAACATTTTACTTTTTAAGTGGACTTAGATTTAGCACAAAGATGAGCTCAACTGTTTATTATGATGGCTGTTTTATTGGAGGTAAATAGTCATTTTTTTTCTAGATTCTTTTAAAAACTTGTTTTATAATGTGACTTATTCAATAGGTGTAAGCGAAAAGAAAATAATGAATTGTATGTGGTTGACTAATTTACTGTTTAATGTTTAAAGAATTCTTAAACGCTTACGATTATATCACAGACTGTTCGCTTGGTTAAATTTAGATTTATTTTTTTGCTGCAGATGGGTTTTATTTTACTTTTTGCGTATATGAGGAAGATGCTGAAGACTAATAAATAAGGGGGTCGGGGTTGGACAGCACGCCATTTTGGGTGGGGATCCTCGTGATAAATAGAAGAAGGATAGGGTCAGGTGTAGAATGTAGACGGAGTTGTGGGGGTCGTAAGTGAACAGAAGAAAAGGGGTGAATGAGGACTTTTAAGGTTTTATAATCATACTAATGAATACATCAGCCAATTATATATTTAATTATTTAAGATGGAGAGCAGCAACCAACAAATTGGAAACTCGGCACTGTTATAGCAACTGGAAAATTCACGAAAGTTTCTCTAGTTGTAGATAACAAAGGGTTACAAGCAAGACAATGTGCTGTTAAACAGCTTTTCATTTCTGATGACATTGATGAAGCTTCCCGGGTAAGAATTATTTTAATTTTTTTTCAACACAACTTATTGTAGCACTTAGGCGCAACGAAACATTTCTATACATTTTCAAGAAAGTTAATATACAAAGTAAAGTAATAAAAACAAAAGTAGCTTAAACAAAGATAATGGAAACTTATAATTACAAATAATTGACAATGTACATGAAAATTATAAAAGAGAACCGAACTAATTATTTCAACACATTCTGATGACTGTTATGGTTTTATTTTAGAAAAAATTTTCCACTGTCGTCATTGTAACATTTTATACCGTTGATGATCATTCATAATATGGAACCCATTTGTTTTTAAACGAATCGAACGAAAAAATATTTAAAATTATTGATACTAATTACTTGGGTCTGTTTTGGATTGACAGAGAAAACGGCCAAATGTAATTTGCTATGTTTCTGAAGCAGACATTGCTGACACATTTAATGACCATCCCTAGAAAATAAATATGTTCAATAAAATTAAAACCAGACAATCTGTAAAATTATACTTTTTATGAATGCGAAGTATTAGCTTCTTGTAACGAATTACTGAATTATCCTTAAGATAGACACGTATTTATCTGGGCCAAAAATATTTTTTTAACAATATTTTGGACTCTTACATCATGCTTAAACACATGATATTCACATATATCGTAATTTTAAAACTAGAGCCATTTTCTTAGCCCTGCCTACTTTCATAAGTCATGACACTTTGACAATGACAGCATATAAACTCCCCATTAGTATCAATATGCTGCTTATTTAAAATAAAACAAAGTTATATCCGCCTCACCTTTCTTGTTTAAATTCCTCAACAATATTAAAGCAATATCATGTTTGCAGTCGCTATATACTTTTAGTGCCTTCCTACGCTAAATGTTACACACCACATTAATTATCATTTTATTTCTAATTCTGCCTGTTGTAATGAATCTAAGAAATTTATTTCTGTTTGTTTGGTCCGGTTTAGTTTACAGGTTCTCTCTACACTATACAGAATTTTGAGTTTTTTTAGATAATGTGCACACACAAATTTATATCGCACTAGTAGTAGAAAATATAAGTAAACAAAATATTTTTTAATGTCAGCTAATTAGTACCACAGTAAAGAAATTATAAACGACAACACTACAATGTTGAAAATTGGATTATACTTTTTAATTTAATAGTTATTAGTATTCAAAACGAAACACAAAACAATAACAGAGTAATCAACAAAAAATGGCCAATAATGTCTTGAAATTATAGTCGAATCACTTTTCATTATAGTTTAAAAATTGAAATATTTTTATATGTGGATATAAAACTAAATTTGTATCCAATTCCAAGAATCGTTTCAACTTTTGAGCGGTTTCCAGTAACCGGAACATAATTTACTTCCGGTTTCTCAAAAGCCATTTAAGATTGATAGATGAAATTTTGCATATATATATATATATGTAATAAATGATATGTGCAGTAATCTGTCAACATTTGAACGATTTCCATAACCGGATTCCAAGTTCGTTGTTGTCGAGTTGAATGTTGCCGGGTTGGATGTTGCCGGGTTGGTTGCTACAACATATGTTTTTTAACAACTGTTCAAAATTGCTTCTCTAGCAACAAATACATTATTTTACTTTTAAGTAAAGTTTTTAAAAGTTTTTTTTTCCAACTGGATTTCTTTGTTGTTTTTTTTTTGTTATTTTTTTTTGGTTGTAGTGCTTGTTTTGTCATCGATTGAACCTGCAGAGCGAAATTTTGACCACTTCTAACCAAACATTATCTCTGATACTTGGCAAGTGGATCAAAACTTGTTGATCAAAGTTGACTTAATTACATCATTAATAAATGTTGAAGAATTAATTACAATTTCCTATATAAATAACGATTTACCGAGCTATTATGTGCACATTTTTCGTGTTTATTTAGTGCGCAATTGTTTTTAATCAAGCAACTCTATTGCATTTACAATTTTAAAGCGCTGAAAAAAATGCATTAAAAAGTTTTTATAGCAAGCTTTTAGGTAATATTACAATAAAAGGATAATATATAACAATGAACTACTATTTAATTTAACTACAAGTTAAATAGCTAAACATAAAAGCGTGGGTCGCTTCTTAAATTATAGTAAACGTTTTTAACATAATATATAGAATCAAGCTTTTATTTTTTTAAACAAATAGTTCATTATTATATTTTTACAGAAAATCATTTTTTCTTCTTTGTGGTGCATTATTACATAACAGCTTGTTATTTAAACGTTTTTTATGCATTTGTTAGAAAAGTATTGACGTGGAAATCACAGCCCTAAAGAAAGCCACTCATCTGAGAATCGTTGATTACTATGGCTACAGCAGAACAGACAGAGTGTTCTCGTTGTTTATAGGATATATGCAACAGGTAATGGAGTAATGTAACTACAAATAAACAAATAAATTTAATAAAAGTTAAAGAGCAAAACACATCAAAATACACATATAAACATTCACATACTTAGAGATTGGAAGGTAAAACATATAATCTAATTAATGTGTATATCTTTATGAAGGGTTCGTTAGCTAAATACATACAATCAGAGAAGGATGGACACCTTACCGAGTTGCAAACTTCACATTTTACTCAGCAAATTCTTGAGGGCCTTGAATATCTACATCAAAGCCGAATAATTCATAGGGACATCAAAGGTATATTTAGTAAATTTTCTTAAATTTCAACTACCATAAGTCTGTGTCCTCAATGCTAAATTTGAACTTCGTTATATATATATACATATATATATATATATATGTATATATATATATATATATATATATATATATATATATATATATATAGAGAGAGAGAGAGAGAGAGAGAGAGAGAGAGAGAGAGAGAGAGAGAGAGAGAGAGAGAGAGATAATACCATATACATATTAGATTTATTTCAATACTTCGCCAAAATGTGCAATGGTTGTACCGTTGTAGATTTTAAATAATAGTATAGGTTTTAGGTTAATAGATTTAAGAAACTTACTCTTATTATCCAGGTTCAAATATTTTAATGCAAGACAAGAATAACATAAAGATATCAGACTTCGGAGTAGCTAAGATTCTTAATACACTGTCACGCGCAAACACGCAGGGAACAGGAACAATCAACTGGATGGCACCAGAATTGTTCCAGGAAGTGCCATATAACAACAAAGTTGATATTTGGTACCTTTGTATTACTTTTACTTTTATAAGAACATGAGTAGCAAGTTTTGGCTAAATTTAAATTAGTTTACAATAATTATTTCACTGCTATTTGAACTTAAAATGTTTTTAAATAGGAGCACTGGATGTACAGTATTTCAGATGTTGACTGGGAAAATACCTTTTGCACATCTAAAAGAGACAACAATTATAATAAAAGGAAATAAAAATGAACTATATTTAACTGTTCCCAAAGAATGTTCCGAAAATGTGCAATCTTTTCTACATCTAGCTTGTAAAAATAATCATTTAGAGAGACCATCAGCAACATATTTATTGCAGCATGAATTTGTAAGAGGTACATGTACATAGTCAATGGTGACCCGTCAAAAGAGCGCACGATAAAAGAGCGCCGACATAAGAGCGCAGACAAAAGAGCGCCGACATAAGAGCGCCGACATAAGAGCGCACTAATTTGCCGACAAAAGAGCGCCGACATAAGAGCGCAAACTAAAGATCGAAAAACCATATTTAATAAATAGGAACAAGAAAATTAACTCAGATCAGAAGGCATTGTTTGATGTTAACTCTTTATTGTTTCATTAAAAAAACGAATTGTTCAGTTTCTTAAACTAAAAAACTGGTATTGACGATTAATATTATCCGTTGTTCCGAAATCATCATTCTGTAAATGTCAGTCCCACAATCCCACAAGACGAAATTTTGTCCTCTTGTTGACGTTTGAAGAGGTTCAGGAATTTTTATCGATAATATATATATATATAATATATATCTCTGCAATGTTCTGTGGATTAGGGAATGGCAGCTGCTTGCGTTTTCTCTGTCTTTCTATTGCACGCTGTGAAGCGACGTATGCCGGCAAATGAGGTGCTACTTACATCGAAATTCCTGCTCTGGCTGGTTGTATAATCTGCCTTAGTTTTTCCACCCCTTCCACTGCCGTTTTCGTATAGCTCTGTCCTTTCAATATATGTAGCCTTCGACCTATATAACAACCTTACCTTTCTGTAATTCGATATCCTCCATGTTATTTGGGTTAGAAATATTTTCAAACTGCATTCATAACATATTAACCATAATATATAAATAAACACATGTCGTTTTATCGTTCCGCCGATTGTTTAATTAAAACAAGTGTTAACCATGCCATATTCGTTTAGCATACAACATGTGCTTTTTTAATTGTCTGCGCTCTTATGTCGGCGCTCTTTTGTCTGCGCTCTTATGTCGGCGCTCTTGTGTCGGTGCTCTTTTGTTTGCGCTCTTATGTCGGCGCTCTTTTGTCGTGCGCTCTTTTGACGGGGTGCCATAGTCAATATATGGGTATATATGTAATATAAATAAATAAGTAAGCAAATAAATTAATAAATTAATTAATGTATTATATATATATATATATATATATATATATATATATATATATATATATATACACAAATTTTATATATATATATATATATATATATATATATATATATATATATATATATATATATATATATATATATATATATATATATATATATATATATATAACAATAGAGTGGGGAGAATATTATAGTTAAAAGAAAGAAAAATAAACTTTTTTTATTAGTTCCCAATGTATGAAAGACAGTTCTAAAATGTGCTATGTTTTTTATATCTAGCTTGTAAAAATAATCTTTTAGAGAGACCATCAGCAACAGATTTATTGCAGCATGAATTTGTAAAAGGTACGTGTACATAGTCAATATACATGTATATTTATATAATATAGGCCTATAATATATTTTATAAATAAATAAGTAAACAAATCAATAAATTAATTAATCAATTAATTAATTAATTAATAAGTAATTAAATTAATTAATTAATTAATTATTTATATATATATATACAAATATATATATATATATATATATATATATATATATATATATATATATATATATATATATATATATATATATATACATATATATATATATAATGATATATATATACACAAATTATATATATATATATATATATATATATATATATATATGTATATATATATATATATATATATATATATATATATATATATATATATATATATATATATATATATATATATATATATATATATATATATATATATAACAAGAGAGTGAGAGTGAGGTGAAAATTATAGTTAAAAGAAGTTCCCAATGTATAAACGACAGTTCTAAAATGTGCAATGTTTATTAAATCTGGCTTGTAAAAAAAATCATTTAGAGAGACCATCAGCAACAGATTTATTGCTGCATGAATTTGTAAAAGGTACATGTACATAGTCAATATACGTGTGTATATATATATATATATATATATATATATATATATATATATATATATATATATATTTATATATATATATATATATATATATATATATATATATATATATATATATATATATAAGATAGGCCTATAATATATAATATAAATAAATAAGTAAACAAATCAATAAATTAATTAATTAATTAATTAACTAATTATTTAATAAGTAATTAAATAAATAAATTAATGAATTAGGTATATATATATATATATATATATATATATATATATATATATATATATATATATATATATAACAAGAGAGCGAGAGTGAGAAGAAAATTATAGTTATAACAAAGAAAAATAGACTATTTTTTACTAGTTCCCAAATGAATAAAAAATGTTCTAAAATGTTCAATATTTTCTATATCCAGCTTGTGAAATTAACCATTTAGAGAGACCATTGTCAACATATTTATTGCAGCCTGAATTTGTAAAAGGTATGTGTACATAGTTAATAAATGGATATATATTATATATATATATATATATATATATATATATATATATATATATATATATATATTATATAGATAGATAGATATAGAGATAGAGATAGAGATAGAGATAGAGATAGAGATAGACATAGACATAGACATAGACATAGACATAGACATAGACATAGACATAGACATAGACATAGACATAAACATAGATATATATATATATATATACAGATATTCCTAGGGTACCTTATCCAGTGATAATAGTTTCGGTGTGTTTTTTTTTAAATCATAAGTTGGGTATTTCATTATTTGTTTGTTTCTATTATTTTTACATAGCTATTTATTATTTAGACTTGTGTGCATTTTAGAAGGTTCTAGATTGATTTAGAGTATTATTAGTTGCAGAAGGTCTTCGTGTGTATTTTTACTCTAGACATAAGCTTCGAGTCTACGAAGGGTTGTTGTTTTCTGATAGTCTTTTTAAGTAATCAGTCTAAGACAATCCAAAAAGAATCCGGGTATTGCGTATCCTTTACCAGTGGTAGAGATACGTAATAACAACACAACACAAACACAATGTAAACGCAATACAAACACAAAAGAAAACACAAACACAACACAAACAAAAAAGAAAACACAAACAAAATATAATACACACACAACACAAATACAAAAGAAAGCAAAAACACAATGCAAACATAAGGTAAAACACAAACACAATGCAAACACAAACATTTGCGTTTGTTTTTTCTTTTGTGTTTGTGTTTTGCGTTTGTGTTTTCGTTATTATTTGCCTTGTGTTTGTTTGCATTGTGTTTGTGTTTTCTTTGGGCTTGTGTTTTCGTTTGTGTTTGTGTTGTATTTGTGTTGTGTTTGTGTTGTGTTGAGTTTTGTTGTGTTCATAAGTTGGAACTATAAAAAAGGTTGTAACGTTGCGGAGCACGGGTATGAAGCTAGTTTTTTTTATATATTCAATTTAGTGCTAGTTTGTAACGCCCCACGAACGTAGTCGCCATCGCGCTCACCAGAAATACAAGGACGCCAAATCGCATCCTGCCGGGGGCCGCCCATGCAAAATTAAATTCTCTCTCCCCCATCCCACCCCAGAAACCTTCTCGGGAGTATTCATCAACTCCCTAAAGTTTTATTGCACCCGGATATACTGTGTTGAACCGCAATTGTCTTTTATTTTTATATACCGTATATACAGAAAAATCCCACCATCCCGTGGCGCCGCCCTTCCAAAAATAAAAAGAAATAAAAAGTTTTTTTTACAGAAACGTCGCCTAAAGTGTTCTAATTAACTCGCAAAAGTTTTATGGCGATCAGATGAACGATGTCAAACCACAAACGACTTTTATTTTTATATTCCGTATGTAGACAAAATCGCACCCTCCTGTGGCGCCGCCCTTGCGAAATTAAAAATGATTTTTTTTTTTACAGAACCCTTCCCTGGAGTGTTCTAATCAATTCTCTAAAGATTGATATTAATGATATGAACGGTGAGAAACCGCAATCGACTTATATTTTTATTTACTGTATATAGAGAAAACAGAAATCGCGCTTTACCGGGGCGCCACCTCTGCGAATTTGATTTTTTTTTCGCAGAAACCTCCCCCGGAATATTCTCAACAATTTCCCAAAGTTTCACGGCGATGTGATAAGAGGTGTAGTAATGCATAAAAGACAATCAAACAAACAAACAGACACACATACATCTATATATTCTAATATATAAAAGGCCATGTGCGCTCTTCTCTGTCTGTCTCTCTCTCTCTCTCTCTCTCTCTATCTGTCCGCAAAATATTTTCGCCGGACATCACGTTAGAAAAGGCAGCGATATATGGAGAACTTTATACGGACTTTTGTTGAAAATAATATGTTAGATGTTTTAAATGTATAACCACAATTTTATTTAAAGAAGAAAAATAAAAAATAAAGGCGTATTCGAATGTAGAAAAACAATTTTATTTATGCAACCGGAAAAGCATTAATAGATGTGAAAAACAACGCATAAAACTGTGACGTCACTATTGCTTATACATTAACTAATGACGTCATCTGCCGTGTTTAGAATAAAAAGAAATGAACTATTTCATTCAACTTTGATTTAGATCTACGTACACTATAAAATGTATACAATACAATTTTTCAGGCCTAAACTCATAAAATTTATTTTATTTATTTGGATTCTAGATCTAGATATTCTCGATTCTAGATCTAGACTAGATCTAAATCTACGCAATAACTAGACGTAGACGCAAAGATCTAGATTATGACTCTAATTACTCTAGAACTATTCCAAAAATAAATTTCTATATTAGGACTAAACTATTTCAAGACTTAATTATTTTATACAAAATCTTTGTTTGGAACTGGCTAATTTGGGATAAAAAATTAATTTGAAAGAATAGGCATATTCGCGTAAGTTAAGATTTTAAAATACGTCTTTCATTCTCCGAATTTTGTAAGATGCCTTAATTGCTGGGTTTTTTATTTTTTTTTATTTTGCTCGGACTAAACTTAAAAAAAAATTCTCTATTAGGATTCTAGATCTAGATATTCTAGATCATTTAGATCTAGAGATTCTAGATCATCTAGATGATCTAGATCTACGGAAAAACTAGACTTACACAGATGTATACCCTACCTAGATCTAGAATCTATTCAAATAATACATTTCTATACTAAAGTATTTCAGGCCTTAATTACTTTATTGAAATTTTTGTTTATCTATGCAATTTGCTAATCTCTATAATATATAAAGCAAAGTTGTCGGGTGCCCGATAGGGCACTTCCCGGCGCCGCAGGCGCTTCAAATTTGGCATGATCTTGCCTTGGGGCGACAGAACACGGGGGACGGTTGGCCGAAAAGTCTACGATGATGGGGTCAAAACTGACCTCGACTGACCGGCGCCTTATATGAACTATAAATCGAAAAAAAATGTCCACGGAGGAACCTCTTCATATCTCCTGACGTCGTAGACCGACCCTCAGGGGAATTAATTAAGCATTCAAATTCTCAATGTTTTCGAAAGCCTAAGCGAAGCTGGGCAGCATGCCTAGTATATACATATATATAAAGCATGGGCGGTCACTGAAGTGTGTTCTACCTCATTATTTCGGTGAGTTATTAATGTACACTCAAGGTTTTCATGCGGTAGTGTAGGGGGTAAACCCATGTCCAGATATTTATGATCCAAGCGCAGGCATTGTTTACATTTAAATAACTCACTTTTAGAAAACAAGGTCAGGAGTCTAAGAATATAGGATTGGTAACGCATGGATAAAACCCTTCTTATATATTTCGTCAGACTTTTTTCAATCCCCGCGACAACGCGCGGGGAACCGGTAAGCTAGTTGCTTTATATATATATGCTATAAATATCGGGACACGGGTTTACCTATACTACCGCATGAAAACCTTGAGTGTACATTAATCACTCACCGAAATAATATGGTAGAACACACTTCGATGACCGCCCATGTGTTAGAGACGTAGAGGGGCGCTATAGGCGCATAGGCACGGCGTACCACCCATGGCTCCTTAAAACTAACAGGCGCCATCGTGCCAAATAGCATCCTGTTAACAATGATACAGATTGCGTCATTCGCTAAAGTGACACAAATGAACATGATTTGTTATATAACACTTAAAACAATTATTTAACGTGTTTTAAACATCAGTGTGACTGATGCAATATGTTAGCGTTACTAATGGTCTATTATTAGATGCTCGATCTCAATTTCTGATTGGATTGTCTAAAAATAGATGCTAAATGCATCATTCGCAAAGTGTCGAAACTGTTTGGATTTTTTTTACGGACAAAAAGAAACATCCCAGTTAATAATCTAACCTTGATTAATTTTTCTAATTATTAAAATAAAACATATTACATGGCCCTGCTCTGGGTTATCCTGTTAGCACATTGACACTTTGTTATTTTTAAAGAGCCAACAGCCCTACGCTGCGCCTCTGCGGTAGTGTTATTGGGGGGCTCCCGAGAGTGCCTCTCTACGTTCCTGATACATGGGTGGTCACGAAGTGTGTTCAACCTCATTATTTCGGTGAGTGATTAACAAACATTCAAGGATTTTATTTGGTAGTGTAGGTAAACCCGTGTCCCGATAACTATGATCCAAGCGCAGGCATTTAAATAACACAGTTTTAAAAGACAAGGTCGCGTGTCTAAGAACATATGATTGGTAACGCATTAGTGAAATCCTTCTAATATATTTCGTCAGACTTTCTACTATCCCCACGGCAACGCGTGGGGGACGGGTACGCTTATATATATATATATATATATATATATATATATATATATATATATATATATATATATAAAGCAATGTATGTGTGTGTGTCTGTCAGTTTGTCTTTTATGCATTACTACACCTCTCATCACATCGCCGTGAAACTTTGGGAAGTTGTTGAGAATATTCCTGGGGAGGTTTCTGCAAAACCAAAATTTTAAGTTCGCAGGGGTGGCGCCCCGACAGGGCGCGATTTGTTTTCTTTCTATATATACGGTATATAAAAATAAAAATTGATTTTTGTTTGACACCATTCGTCCGGTCGCCATCAACCTTCAGGGACTTGATTAGAACACTCCAGAGAAGGGTTCTGTAAAAAAAACATTTTTATTTTCGCACGTAAAAAAATTATTTGATGTGTTTTAAACAACAGTGTGACTGATGCTATAGGTTAGCGTTACTAATGGTCTATTATTAGATGCTCGATCTCAATTTCTGATTGGATTGTCTAAAAATAGATGCTAATTGCGTAATTCGCAAAGTGACGAAACTGTTTGGATTTTTTTACGAACAAAAAGAAACATCCCAGTTAATAATCTAACTTTGGTTAATTTTTCTGATTATTAAAATAAAACTTATTACATGGCCCTCAGCGGCCCATGTGAGCCTCTGGGGGACGAAACTGAAATTTTCGTTAGCAGCCAAATCGCACCCTACCAGGGCGCCGGAGGACACGCCTGGTTCAATTTAGTGAGCGTTTGTAACGTGCATCATATCCATTGTCTATCACGCTGTTTCGACAGAACGTAGTTGCCATAGCGCTCAACGGAAAGACCAGGGCGCCAACTCGCATCCTGCCGGGGGGCCGCCCATGCAAAATTAAATCATATATATATATATATATATATATATATATATATATATATAACAAGAGAGTGAGTTTGAGACGAAAATAAATTATAGTTGAAAGTGAAAGAAAGAAAAATAATATTTTACAATCCATAGTCTAATAATTTTATTCGAGAAAATAAATTAATCATAAGAACTATATTATTTTATGTTGTCATTTTAAATTGTTTTCAGACATTTTTACTGTCAAGTTATATTATATCAATTATTTACATAAATTGATTGGTATTTAGATACATTACATAAAGGACAAATGTGTTTTCTTTTCAGAAAGTAGAAACAACCAAAAAACGTGTGATCTAACTATAGTATATCCCGATTCAAATTGTGCTCAATGTGATTTTTCATCTGACGTATTTTCAGAACTATCTTCCGACTCAGCAGTTTGTGGTAAAGTGCTTGATTGTCTGTTGTTTTAATAAGACACATTGTTTACACTTTATTTGTTTAATTGTTTTAACAAAAGTTAATGCAAAAAAGCATTCAATTTATAATAATTACGTAGTCTAGCATATATCCTATATTGTTTTATTTTTTTATTTTTGTTCACTAGCATTCCAAACATATGAAAAAGATTCTGATCCGTCGATTGAAGGATTACCAATACCTGGAACTGAAACAGGTTTGCATTATGTATCGCGTTAGTATTCCTATGTTTTCATAGCGAAACAAAATACATGTAAACGATTTAATAACAAGCTTGTATATAATTAAGCACTAAAACGGAGAAAATAAATGGTTTCCTTTTTTTAAAACTACTATCTAAATAACTGAAAAGGAAAGCGTGGGTCAATTCTTAAATTCTAGTAAAGGTATTTAATAGATAATATAGCGACTCATGCTTTTATTTTCAGATATTTAAATAGTAGTTATTATTTTTAAAGAAAATCACAGTTGTATCACAATGAATTTTTCTAGAGCTACGGATAAATTAGACTTTGGCTTTTTTTCTAGATCTAGAATCTATCTAGAGCAATCACACAATGAATAATTGAGTTTCTTTACTAAAGTATTTCAGGCCCTATATATATATATATATATATATATATATATATATATATATATACATATATATATATACATATATATATATATATATATATATATATATATATATATATATATATATATATCAATATATGTCTGTGTGTGTCTGTGTCTGTCGGCTCCCGGTCACAAAAGCCCCCTGGACATAAACCCCCTATACATAAACCCCTGACATAAACACCCAGGACATAAACCACCGCGACATAAACCCCCTGGACAACCCACCACCCACCCCCCGCGACACAAGCCGCCTGGATAATAACTCCCAGATTGAGGTTGCTATAAGGAAATAATAACGATGATGAGAAGCAAAAAAAAAACATAATTTAATTAAATTATTGTAATTTTTAAAGACAATGATTCTGGTGCCGGATCACAAGGTTGGATGTTTTTGTTTTGAACTAAGGACAACCTTAGATTATTGGAGGTTAATCAGCACTGGTTTATGGTTGGTACATTCAAAATAGCTCCTGCCTTGTTTTCACAACTGTACACAGTCCATGCGTTGGTCAATGGACGGACTGTTCCATGTGTCTATGCCTTACTTCAAAACAAAACACAGGAAACATACACAGCACTCTTACAGCAACTAATGGTCTTGAACACAAATCTGCAACAAATTTCTATCATTAGTGACTTTGAAACGGCTGTGATAAAAAGTGTTTTAAGACTGTGAGGTAAAAGGATGCTTTTTCCATCTTATCCAAAACATACAGAAAAATACAGGACTCTGGCCTTCAACAGCGTTACCAAGTTGATAGCGAATTTGCTCTTAAGCTCAGAATGCTACCTGCGTTGGCTTTTGTGCCCACTGAACACATTAGTAATGCTTTTGATAAATTATCGGAAATTTTCCCCCAAGAAGCAATGCCGATTGCAGACTATTTCGAGGACTACTATATTGGCGGACCACAACGTCGAGGTCGGAGAAAACCTATGTTTCCATTTGATATGTGGAACATGCTCACACGTGCTGAAGACCATATGCCAAAAACAAACAACTCAGTTGAAGGCTGGCACAGAAGTTTCCAGTCCAATATGTGATGTTGCCATCAAAATATTTTGAAGTTCATTGACTTTATTAAAAAGGAACAATCGCCCCAAGAGGTTTATTGTACACAGATAAATTCAGGTCGCTTACAATCTCTCTTTTTGAAACTTATAAAACACTGTTTTTTCTAATGTTTATTTTGTTTTTAATGATTAATTTTTGTTATTGTCTTTAGTTTTTCCTTATAAAAACCACCATTGTGTTTTTTTGTCCAGGTGGTTTATGTTATGGGGGAATTATTTCCCGGGGGTTTATGTCGGTGGGGGGGGGGGGGGTGTTCAGGGGGTTTATGTCCAGGTTTTTTTTGACCGGACACCGTTTGAAGTCTGTCTGTCTTTTATGCATTATTACATTACTTTAATGCATTACTCTCATCTCATCGCTGTGAAACTTTGGGAAGTTGTTGAGTATGCTCCTGGGAAGGTTTCTGCGAAAAAAAAAAACTTCAAATTCACAGTGGTGGCGCCCCGTTAGGGCGCGATTTGTTTTTTCTCTATATACGATATATAAAAAATAAAAGTCAGATGCGGTTTGACACCGTTCATCTGTGTGAATTGAAACTTTGGTGAGTTGAAGAGGATACACCAAGGAGGAAGTGTGTGAAAAAAAAATTTCTTAAGGGCGGCGCACGGGAGGGTGCGATTTTTGTCAATACACGGTTTGACGATTAGAGTTTCAGAGCGGCTATTGTAGAACTTGGCGTCCGTTAATCAGACGACCTGCATAGAGGGTAAAGGGTACTACTAAATTCAGCGGTAAAACTGCAACAGGCGTAGCCAGCGGTGCCCAAAGATTGCGTGAACAGATCGTTTAAAAAAGGCTATACACTGAAGACACTATGGGCAACAATTATCGTTGACTATATCGAATCAGGCGCGTGATATGGCGCCCCTGCAGTGTGTGATTTGGCGCCATGGGCTTTCCCGTGAGAGCAATGACGCATTGTTTGTTCTAAAGTGTGATAGACAATGAATAAGAAGGGGCATTATAGTCGCTCACTAAATTGAATCAGGCACGTCCGCCGGCAAAACGGCAGAGCGCGATTTGACGCCCGCGTCAACCTGAGCACTATGGCGCCTACGTTAGTTTTAAGAAGCACCATACACGGCGGCACACGGCATTTTAATGATTAAATTGAGCCAGGAGCCGTACGCAGCGCCCCCACGAACGTGTAATCGGGTACTCACGAGATCGTCACTCTACGTCCAAGATGCTTAGGCGGTGAGTGATTAACGTACACTCGATGGCGTGCTGGGCGGTAATGTAGGTAAAGTGACTGGTAAAGCAATGATGAAACCCTCCTAATATATTTCGTCAGACTTTATTTGTCTTTTATGCATTACTATACTTTTCATCCGATCGCCATGAAACTTTGGAATGGTGTTGAGATTACTCCAAAGAAAACAAATCTTTGCACGGATGGCGCACCGACAGGGTGATATTTGGCGCCGAGGGTTACATATGTTTCGCAGGCGATAGGATGAACGGTGTCCAACCGCAGTCGACTTTTATTTTTATATATAGCGTATATATAGAAAAAACAAATCGCGCCCTACGGGGCGCCACCTCAGGATTATTCTCAACAGCTTCCCAAAGTTTGATGCCGATCGGATAGAAGGTGTAGTAATGCATAAAAGACAGACAAACAAACACACACACAGACATACATTGCTTTATATATATATATATGCCTATATATATATATATATATATATATATATATATATATAGAGAGAGAGAGAGAGAGAGAGAGAGAGAGAGAGAGAGAGAGAGAGAAATTTGTGAGCCTGCTATTCAGTACTTTAAATTTAGTCTAAATATATAAGTAGGCCTTTTTGATTTTGAAAATTTAAAAACCTTTTGTTTATAAAATTAAAAAATAAACCTCACATTAATTTTATCGACTTCTACAGTTCCTAACACTCCAGAAGGATACGTGGAAAAAGTTACAAGATGGCTAAATTTGCATAATTTTATGATGCAAGAAACAGATATAAATAAAAGTTTTTTAACTAAAGGACATAATAACTTAGTTAGATAGGTATATTGTTTTAAATTGTAATTAGATTTGTATTGTTACATTTAATTGAGAGAATAGTTATTACTACGTTTCAGATAATAATTTATAATATCATACATTAGATTTCGTCATTGATCTAGACTGTGAACGAATTTTTTTTTAAGTTAAAAACACTTAAAATTCGAAATTTTATTTTCTTTACATTTTCTTTTTTTCAAATGTGTGTATATAAACGCAAAGTGTGGGTTGTTTGTTTGTTACTCACCCTATTAGATTGGATACTTGCAGGTAAGATGCAGAGTAGCTGTTAACGACAAAGTGTGCAGTTCACTTTCATTCTAACGGGAAAATTAGAGCTATCTCAAAAATCGCTTTTAAAGTGACCGGAGACATATTTAAGTGCTTGGCTTAGTAGATCGACCACTTGCAGATTTTTCGGGATGGGTGACACATCACTAAACATGCAAACAGTTTTTGAGGTGGGGGGGGGGTTGTGGTTGACACTCTCACTAAACACACAGGATGACACCGAACCTTTTGTTGCCGCTAACATAAGTTTTTAAAATTCACTCATGATTTATTTAAATTGGCTTTTGTCTTGCTTTAAAGTTTGTAAAACGATAAATAAGTTCCTTGAGATCCATTTTAGCTGCTTCTTTATGTTCGATAGTTAGGTTCCCATGGCGAACATTAAAGCAAACTTGTGGAGCTCATGGTTTTTTTTTTTTTTTTTTTTGGGCCCTGTGCCTTGCTTATACTAGTTTTACAGTAGTTACGCCGCTGTCTAAGGGTAGAGGTCATGGTGATGTATATGGTGATGTTAAGGGTAATGAAAATGGTAAGGGTAAGCTTAAGGGTGATGAGTTGGAGTGGGTAACGTTTTGAACCCTTGTAAAATATGTCAAATTGCAATTAAATTGTACGTTGAGTTTTATTTTGTATGTTTATTTTTTTTTTTAATTCTTAACAATTAAGGATTGGTTCGGCGATTCTGTACAATTTTTTAACATTAAATGGGTGCTGTTGGCATCACGTTTGATAGTAGATATAGAGTATAGTGTGTGTGCAATGTTGTGTTACTCTTTCTTATATTGTATTCACTTTTTTTTCGTTTTTTTAAAACATTTGTCTTTGAAATTATTTTCAATGGCGGTGTAAAAATCTATACATTCCCTCATGATACTATTCCGACATTTCAAATTTGAATATTTCAATTGTATCGTCTCGGGTTGTTGCTCACCAGCATAGTGAAAGTAGCAAGCTGTAATAGATTGACGATAGAAGCATGTGATTGTATATAAACGTTTATTGGCCTTAACTACATGATGGTAACGAGAGAGGGCGGAAGTGACGAGACACAAATATTTATATACATATAAGGGACATCACTCAAGATAACAGTATAAATATAATACTAATACAAGAAGAGTGAGTTCCCTTGACTTCACAAGTCTCACTATATTACATCCCTTTACCCTTAGTAAACACAACACATCTCTCAATAGAACAATTTACAGTATCCTAAAATCACCAAATATATTGTAACATGAACATTATGGTAGATTACATCCTTACAAACAATGCACAATATGTTACAACATAATTAAAATACAAAACAATGATGTCAAAGTCCTTTTGACCTTTAAAATCATAGGTCTAACTTATTTGGGACTTTGATTGTCCTGCTTGACCTTCTCAGTGGCTTTTGATTTGGTGACTCAAGATTCTGACCATATGGATTCTCTATCTCAGGAGGTTTAGGATCTAAATCATTAACTCCAGAATTTACATTTTCTGACTCTAGACCACTTGGTTCACTCATATCAACAGAACTTGGTTGTGGAACAAACTGAGTTGGTGTGAACTGATCAGATTTGGTGGGATTAATAGATTCACACTTATTATCTGCACAAGTTATTTTTAACTGGTCTGCATGTCTACGGACAATAAGTCCATCATTTGTTTTTACTTTATAAGACACAGGTCCTGTACATTGAACAATTTGACCTGGTATTCATTTTTCCTTTCTCCCATAAATTCTCAGATACACATTCTCATTAACACCAAATTCTCTTTCAATGGATGTTTTGTCATGATTTAATGGAACTATTTTTGAATTGGCATCTGAAAGTATTATGCTGTTATTAAGATCCTTAACTGACATAGATTTCTTTGATTGATCAATTTCCTCAGGTAATCTGATAGTGCTTTTTGGTAACCAAAAATACTGTTTAAAAGTACTATCCTGGACCATATCAATTTGCAACTGTGATCCAGTATTTGAAGTGGGTGTATTAAATGGCAAAAATCTTTTTTCTTTTGATGTTACCCTTTTAGTTTCTGTAAGTGCTAATGATGTTAGCAAAGTTGTTTGATGATCACATTCCTTCTTATTTAAAGCATTTGAAATTGCCATATCACCATAATCATTTATTAAGTTACAAATACTTTGTTTAGGCAACTCTGACTGATAATGGACTGCATCTTCTCCATCTTTTAGACTTAATTCCATTTTTTTTATTTTATATGGCCTTAGTCATCATTCACAGACTCTTCAGGCCAACCATTTTTACAGTACTCATATACTTTTATTAAGCACTCATCTTTTTGTGTTTCTCTTTTAATATCATTCACATTTATATTGGAGTTATCCATGATAGTGAAGAGAACAAATACATCTTCTGGTACATAACTAGGGCTTTGGTTTTTTAAAGGTAATCTACTAAGACTATCTGCACTATTCTCAGATCCAGGTTTGTATTTCAATTCATAATTGTATGCGGCTAGTGTGATAGCCCATCTTTGAATTCTTGGTGAGGCATGCTCAGGTAGGGGTTTGTTTTCCCCAAACAAACCTAGCAATGGTTTATGATCTGTAAAGATGGTGAATTCTTTACCAAACAGAAACTTATGAAATTTCTTAACACCAAAAATGATGCCTAAGCCTTCCCTATCTAACTGAGAATAATTTTTCTCAGCCTGGTTCAAAGATCTACTGGCAAAAGCAATGGGTCTGTCACCCTTTTCATCCATGTGGGACAAGACTGCTCCTACACCATCTGGTAAAGCATCACATGTTAATATAAGTCTTTTCCCTGGGTCATAGTGAGTTAGTAGGGTGTCAGAAGACAAAGCTTCTTTTGTTGTATTAAAAGCAGCATCTTGTTGTTTACCCCAGTGCCAAGTTGCATTTTTCTGTAGCAGCTTGTACAGTGGTGATAGTTTACCAGACAGATTTCCTATGAACTTTGCATAGTAATTTATCAAGCCCAAAAAAGCTCTTAGTTGTTGGGTATTTTCAGGTTTGGGTGCTTCTTTAATGGTTTTTGTTTTCTCAGGTTGAGGTCTGATACCTTGCTTGCTTAATATATAACCAAGAAAACTAATTTCTGTCAGCATGAATTGACATTTATCTTTGTTTATCTTTAAACCTTTTTCACCAACTATTTTCAAGACTTTATCAAGTGTTTTAAGATGTTCAGTGTCATTCTTACCAGTTATGTACACATTGTCAAAGTAAACACAAACATTTGGAATATCCTTAAAAATACTGTCCATGACAGCTTGGAAAATTCCAGGGCTGGATGATATACCAAAACATAGTCTTTCATATTGGTAGAGTCCTTTATGTGTGTTTATTGTCGTATAGACTTTTGAATCTGGATGCAGTTCTAGTTGAGTGTAAGCATGACTAAAGTCTAATTCAGTGAATTTGTCTCCTCCTGCCAAATTCAAAGAAATTTCCTCAATGTTAGGAATAGGGTACCTATTTAGCTCTATTTGCTTATTCAGTGTAGCTTTATAGTCTCCACAAATTCTTACAGAACCATCCTTCTTTAACACTGGCACAATGGGCGTTGCCCAATCGGAATAGTCTACCTTCTTTATGATGCCATTAGATTCCAATCTACTTAGCTCATTTTCAATTTTATTCCTCATTGCATAAGGTGGAACTCTAGCTTTGCAGTATCTTGGATTTGTGTCTTTAATGCTTGTCTTCACTGTTCTATCATTTAGTAATCCTGAATTACCAAAAACACTTTCATTTTCAGATATAACTTTATCTATTGAAGTAAAACTAGATTCTCTTGCTTTGATCACTGAAAATATACTCTCCCAATTTAACTTAAGATCACTTAACCAGTTCCTACCTAGTAATGGTGGTCCATTTCCTTCAACCACAAGAAGAGGAAGTTTAACACTTTGACCATTATAACTTACATGAACCATACACTCTCCTATTACCGGAACATTGTCACCAGTGTATGTTGTTAGACACTTGTGACATGGTTGTAGGGGCACTGATCCTCCTGTGACAGCGTCAAAGTCCTTCTTTGTGATGACTGTTAGAGATGCTCCAGTGTCAAGTTGGAAGCTGATGCTCTTACCGTTTATATAAACTAGTACATTGATGGGAGCATGACTTATTGATTTCACAGAGAACAGGTTGAAATCCGGCTGCGAATCAGTTTGAGCATTTTCACAGGTAGAGTGGTTCATTGGTAGGGTTAGGTAGTCTTGGTGAGAGTTAACATAGTGCTGCCTTTGGTTGCGGTACTGTCTTGACTGGCTAGATTTAGCAACAGACGAAGACTTTGCAAAGCAGGCCTTGGCAATGTGACCTTGCTTACTGCACTTATAACAAGTTGCTGATTTGAACTTGCATCGATGAGATGCATGGGGACCTTTGCATCGATGACATTTTTGATAATTATTACTAGATTTAGATCTAGGATTTGAATGTGCAGGCTGTTTAGCATAAGTTGAAATGCTCTGATGGGGTTGGTGTTTGTTGACTAACCTGCTGTTTACTGCATGGATCCCTGAGGGTGCTAGAGATCTCGCCGCATCAGATGACTGCTGGAATGAAGTTGCTAGTTGTATTGCTTTTTCTAATGTTAGATCTGACTCGAGCAGCAACTTTCTTTGAACATCAGGGCTGTTTACACCTGTCACAAACTTTTCACATAGTCTGTCAGACAGCGTGTCTCCGAATTCACAAAATTCACTTAAATGACGTAAAGCAGCAACATATTCTGATATTGACTCGTTTGATTGACGAGTCCTACCGTCAAATCTAGCTCTACATAGAAACTTTGATGGTACAGGCGCATGGTGGTCTGTTAGCAATTTGCTCAGCTCGTTAAAGCTCTTGGTAGTTAGACTAGCTGGTGCGCATAAGTCCTTTAATAGCCTAAATTGTTGAGGCCCTATGACTGTTAACAAAACAGCTCTCTTTTTGGCTTCTATCGTCACGTTGTTTGCTTCAAGGTAAAAGCTTAACCTATCTAGATAATCATGAATGGTTTCATCATTCGAATCAAATTCTTTTATTTGGCCATACAGCGCCATTATTCTAGAAATACTTAGCCAATATGCTCTAGCAAGCTCCTTTTTAAGTAAGCATATGCTCTTTCTAGTGGATTATTTATCCTCGTCGCCAGATGTAATAGATTGACGATAGAAGCATGTGATTGTATATAAACGTTTATTGGCCTTAACTACATGATGGTAACGAGAGAGGGCGGAAGTGACGAGACACAAATATTTATATACATATAAGGGACATCACTCAAGATAACAGTATAAATATAATACTTGACTTCACAAGTCTCACTATATTACACAAGCAACTTTCAGTGTAAGTATAATGATTTGACTCTGATGTTTCATGTGTTATCGAGGAATGGCAGTTGATGCTAATAAATTTTATAATTAAGTAAGAGTGTACGTGTTGCTGCTTTGAGCGTAGCTTTGTGGCTATTTTAAATAAAGAATTATAAAAAATAAAGTTTTTGTTTACATTTATTTTCTAATTAATGTAAAATATCTAGTGAGCCAACACCTTTGAAAATGTTGCAGTATTTTGCCATTAATGATGGGTACCTGATTCTCTTTAGAGAAAGTTAAGTTGGCTGGGCATGGTGCCGACCGCACTATCCCTTCATATGTCGATGTCCCTGAAACCCGTCCCATGGAGCGTCGGGCCCCATAGACCATATGTATAACCATAATTAATTAATGACGATACATCAGCAACGGTATTTTTCTTTATTATTTTTTAATCTGAAAATGGTCTGTGGACAATGGTTCAGTGGACAAACTGAATGCTTTTACTAAGTAATGAAATATGAAACAACATTATGTTTGTTATCTAGGTTTCTATTATATTTAATTTAAGGTATAAAAAAATAAATATTTTCTATTCACACTTCGTCAAAACCTGGGGGTAGCCACCAGCGATAATGAGAAATTATATTCCTACCCGCTGCAGTAACTTATACTGTTACTTTTCAAAATGTGTTTAGTTATTATTAATTAAAATGAACACATGATTATATTATTTTTTTTTTCTTAAATGGTGTCACCGCAAGACCCGACAATACGGGGAAATTAAAAACAATTTCTTCTCTTAATCATTATCACAATAAGTCATACGAAAGAATGACAATGACAAAGATATAAAAAGATTTTATTCAAAATAAATAGTATAAACAAAAAAAAACAACAACATTTTTACACCTGAAAACATAACACATGCCAAGCTTCCGTGAAGCATATACTTTTGACCGACTTATCAGAGAAAAAGTTAAAAAGCTTTCATTGCGCTCTCTACTAGCTAGGGTTCAGATGTTGTATTCAAAGAGATGTATTTTAAGTACGTTTTAGATTTTTCAGGAGAATTGCTCACATTGATATCCATAGACATAGAAGAAACGTGTCTAAAGTAATCTTAATAATTAAATGAAGCCGGGTCATGAGTACATTAAGTAATATCTGACTAGTTTACAAATAACTCTACAATAAAAGTCATTAAATTGCAACACCAAAATAGTGTATGCTGTGTACACACGCTTTAATTCATACTAGCTATCACTAGGCCCTATTGGAGCTAGTACACAATTTATACACTTGCAGGTCTACATAGGGCCTACAGTCTAGCAGTTTACAGTAGGCACGTTAGTAGGTTATACCTACTGTGTAGCTGTTCAGCGTTAAGATTCTTGGATGTAAAAAGGGGAGGTACTAGCTAATCTGCTTTGATGCTTTCCCCTGATAAGCCATGTATGCTATAGGCCTACATTACATAACAATAACATGGAGGTGAGAAATGTTGAGTGGAGAGAAGTGGTTCTGATTTCGCCTTTGTTCTCCCTGCTGGACCCTGAGGGTAATAAATTACATAAGAGATGCTTTCTCGGGATGGCTGTAGCTTAGAGCAGCAATTCATGTTACCAAAAAAGGGATTTCAAGGTGATTAGCTAATGTTTTAATGAGGTAACGAATGTTGATGGGAGTGTAGTAGGCCTATGGATTCCTCTTTGATATCTTCCCTGCTGGACCATGATAGTCATATATGACAACATGCTATTCCTGCTGGAATGAGATCTAAGAACAGTAATCTGTTAGCAAGAAAAGGGTTAGAAGTTTTATAGTGGGTTAAAAGCAATTGGGGAGGGGTGGTTTTATTTTCTCTTATATAGAATTCAATGATTAAACTGCACCTGAGGCAAGAAGATCCACATGGCAATAAATGTAATAACTTTTCTGTAAATGCAACTTAGTGGACAAAATTAATGAACCATTGTGTAGATTTAATTACTATCTCACAAGTATAACTATGATAAGTTTTAGTTTGAGAATGATCAAAATTTTATTGCTAGGTAAAACCGGACAAGGTCAGCCCTTTTGTTTTTGGCATAAAAAATCACTCTGTGAACGAACATTCACCAAAATAAAACTATTCTAACTATAGTTATAAAAATTGTGTTACAGCAATTGTAAAATTCATATGTTTCCAAGATTTAAATAAATTCTTTGCGAGAGACGGACACATCCAAATGAAATAGGAAACAACTGTTAAATGTGACGTAACAGGCTAATAAAACAGCCAAGATTGACTTTTGCAAATTCTGCTCTTCTAAATACATTCCTGTAAAGTTCTCAATGGAGTGGCTGGCGGTTTAAACGGTTTTCGTGGCTTAACACATCTCTGTTATGTTAAATTAATATTCGGAAATAAAATAAAGTATTATTTCGTTTACCGGAACTCGCTCAAAACAATATAGAAACATACGTTCATAAGAGCTAACTATACTTATTACTATCTATAAAAAAATAGGTTCAACATAACCGAAACGTTACGACAATTTAGTTATATTAAAAACTTGAAATTGAATATAGTACCATTTCTATTAAATGGACATTGGTTTAAAAAAAGAACACACACACACACAACAACACACACAGACCCACACACACACACACACATACAAGCAAACAGGCAGACATATAGATACATAATATAACCTTACCGTCAATTGTGGCTCACTTTCAACCAAACTGCTTGGTATGTACATTGCAAAAATTACCACGATAAATCTATTAGGGAATTGAAATTGCGAATTTTAAGTGTATGTGTCTTTATAAATACATTTTTTTTCAAATCTACAATACGTCTATGTTTGTTTATTCGTATTACATCATTTGATGACTGATGTAGTGTGTGATAATAAAATAATCAGATTAGTACATACCAGAACCATGTCACAAAACGAACTGTTATCAGCGACAGGGTCTAACGCACGACGTGATCGGCGCTGACTAGATTAGATAGTGTTAGAAAATAAACAACTCCGATAGATAAACACAAACAATCTATTTGTCTCCACGATAGTTGATGTCAAGATAACAAATAATCATTTAAACTTTGTTCACGTAGACCACTAAAACAACAACAGGCGACGCTACTTTAATTATGATACAGCCCCTGACTGATTTAGTCAGTTCCCTTGTCGCATAAGGAATGCTAGTACAACATATTAGGAAATGCTCCATAATATTGTTTCAATACTTCTAACGTTATTGTATGTAATACAAAGCTACGAAATTCGACATTTTTATTCTTATTACCTAGTGAAAATGTTTTTGTAGTGGTCAAGTCAGCTGTGTAGACTTACAGCCGTGATGCTCAGACACATGTCTGATGGTACGGGTGTGTGAAGATGGAATCAAGATAAAATGTTTTACACATGTAAATATTAAAGTACTATTTTTGGAAATGAAAGTATTTTTTTTTCAGGGTTTGTTTCAAACATTTTCAGGTGTTGCAATTTAAATATATTATGCGCGCATTTTTCTTCCGATTCTATTTTTTACAATCAGACAACATGGTATCCACGGATTGTTTGCCACGGAACCTTAGAAGGTGAAACCACTATCTGCGAGTGACGTGAGGCTTACATTAAAATGTATCTAGAAATAAAAGTCGTCGACAACACCCCTACAGCATAGTGGACAGATAGCACCTTCGACAAACCCGTCAAATAATGGTCTGTTCGTGAAAATCAAAGCCAAAATTGAACATCCTATATTCCTTTGAAATGCTTGAATGTTTGCATGTTAACAGAGGCGTCACGACGAAGGAGCGGAGGTTGCGGACCGCACCAGGGGACACCTTTTAGGGGGGGGGGGTGACACCAAAACGAAAGATTGCAAAAATATATATAAGAAAAATGATTTTTGCCAGTCCAGGAAATAAATAATTAGAGTTAAAAAGTCTTATGAATAACATTGACCATCTCGACTGTACATACACACTCACACACACACACACACACATATATATATATATATATATATATATATATATATATATATATATATATATATATATATATATATATATATATAAATATATATATATATATATATATATATATATATATATATATATATATATATATATATATTTATATATATATATATATATATATATATATATATATATATATATATATATATATATATATATATATATATATAAACATAAATATATACATCTTTGTTTTGTTTTGTGTAGGGGGGTGACACAATGAAATGCCGCACCGTGTGATACCAGACTTAGCGACGCCACTACATGTAAATAAGCAATAAACTCACGCACCATTAAAATTATTGTGAGTAGTAGAAAAAAATAGCAAGTGTGCACTACAACAAATTAACCTTAAAATCTTGCTTTATATTGCTGTAATATTTTAACAGTTGTAACTTCACTTCCAGCCAATTTTGTTAATCAAATAATGTTTTAATACAGCCTAGAAATGACTTTAGGACTTCAAAGTCAAAATGAATGTTTTGTTATGGTGCTTCTAGTTTTCTGACCCCTAAAGAAATGGCGTGGTCATGAAATATACGCTACTTTCATAGACTAGGTTGCTCTAGAGCTAGATTAAAAGATATAATTTTTTTTTACTAAAGACTAATCGTGGATTAAATGATAAAAACTATTTACAATTGAGTTTCATAATCATCAAAACCCCTGCTTGGGCATGGGCCGTCAACCAAAGATCCATAGAATTCTCTGTCCCTTGTCATTTTCTCAATCTGCTTCCAGTTGTAGACAACCTTTATATTTAAGATTTCAGGCCCCGTCGCTAGATGTGTCATGGTGGACCTGTTCTGCGTTTTTTCCATGAAGGTCTCAACTCAATACTTGATTTGACAACTGAATTTAGGTTTATGTTAGATAAAAAAAATTTGTAAAATATATTGTTTGTTGATTGTTTAGCAAAATAGTCTACTATGTGTTACATAAAAGAACAACACATAACTTATTGAAACTCTTTTTATTATCAGAAAAAAGCTAAACAAGTAAAATATTTAAATAAAACAATTTGCTTGGAAACACAAGCGAATTTAATGGAATTACAGTGGCACCTCGATAAAACTAAATCGGGAGAGAGATTTTTTGCTTCAAGGTAGGCTACACGCAAAAATTGGGATACAAATAACCGGACACGTAAGTTTCACAGTTCATTGAAAAGAAATAACTTGAAAAAGTTGCAGCTGATCTTGTATCGCAGCTATTTAAGGATATTTGTTGTAACTCCGCGACAATCTGAAACGGAATTTGACTTAAACCTTCTCAACATTTTTCTGTAAACACAGGCGGTATAAGTGAGGGAAACGTGGCGAAAAAGGTTCAGAACAGAAAAGAAGAGACGAAAATTAAAAGAAAGTAACAATAAATGATCGCATCGCATTTAAGTGTAACTCTATTCTGCGAATTTTAGATAGATTCCATTAAGTTTAGATACAAAGAGTGGTATTAAGAGTATAACGAGTACGCGAGAAAGTGAACGAAATAAAAATCATCCGCCTATCTTTTCAACCTTACACCTCCCCTAACACCTTCAACTCAAATCAGAAGATTCCCAAAGATGTAGAAAATTTGACATACGAGCTATGGTACGGAACGAATTCAACTCGTATCTTGAGGTACCACTGTATAAAAAAAACAATGTTAGGAATTAAATACATTGTGTTAATCGAATTGTCTTTTAATAACTGGATAGTTTTTACTTAAAATCACATTCATAACGTTATTGTATGGTTATATTTTTGTTTAAAAAGCATCACACAAATGATATTATAATTTAATAAGAAGAAATTTTTAATGAGTGTTTTAAAGCTAATTCATAATACTTTTCAAATAAAGAATTACATAATGAGTTTAAAACTTAAAGTAGTTTACTGAATATAAAAATTATTATTCTGTAAAGTTAGGCCTACATTATTTTACGAATGACATTGTAGAAATAGCATGACATAATCCGTAGTATCATGCACCTAGAAATCTAGTTACCTAACCCCAAGTAAAAGTTAAAATTCATCATCAAAATACACTAACACAAAAATTGTTTTATTTTATAATAAACATTCATTTTAATCATGTGATAATTATCAACTGACTTTTTTTATTATATATATATATATATATATATATATATATATATATATATATATATATATATATATATATATATATATATATATATATATATATATATATATATATATTATTTTAATATCTGTAAAAAACTGAATACGTATCCACATGATTCAGTATCCACTTTGGTCATGCTAATTGCAAATACTAGTGGTATAGCTGATAATTAGTCGTCAACCATGTTGGGGTGAACCCTAATATCATTTGCAGTTCAAATGTAGTGTTGGTATTAGGAGCTGTAGGAATATCTGGTTATAGTTAAAATATAGATTATATGATGATTTTAAAAAACCGATACATTTAAGGAAACTGATTTATCTGAAGATATTAAACCATTTATCCTAAACATTAGGACTGTTAGAAGATAATTTAACCAAAATCTTTTCTAGACTGGTATTGCGGTCAAATGCTAAAAAAAAATATCATTGCTGAAGAATGTATGATGTTGGTTGATTATAATAGTAAGCCTGCCATTTCCTGTTGAGTCCATTTAATAGCGTTGTGTGTGTGTGTGTGTGTGTGTGTGTGCGCGCGATTGTGGAGGGGATTACTGCATTCATGTAAGTGTAAGCATAGAAATAATAAATAATTTTGTCCTTAACGAGCTTTCATCAATTAGATCAATAGATACGTACCATTTATATTCCCACTTAACTAATGCATTTATCGCAGCATGTGTTGTCTTTGTATTGTCGAAGCAGTCTCACCATTTCAGTATTTCTTTTGGAATATGCAATCTTTAGAGCACACTCTCCATGTGCATCTCTTTTCGGGATGTTTTGGTCTAATTTTCTTTCTTTATCTTCCAAAGAGAATGCGCATATGAGAGGGCTACACTCTCTTCTGCTGCTTCTATACTCCGCTGAAGGTTGTGTTTCAAGTAAAACCTTAGCTACATCATTATATCCTCTAGATACAGCTATAGCTAATGCATTCAGCTCATACTTATCACTTAAGTTTACATCAGCACCAAAGTTAAGTAGCAATTTTACAGTTTCAATATGGTTGTTTTCAACAGCAAACATAATGGGTTGTCGTGAAGCATGGTCTTTGCTATTAACTGGAGCATGATATTCAATTAATAGTTCAATAATTTTTGTATGGCATTTAGAAGCTGCAAGTTGCAATGCAGATTCCCCCAAATTAGATTTATTCTTCAGAAGTATTTTAGTGGCTTTGGTATGTCCACCTAAGATTGCATGAGATAAAGCATTATTTTTTTCTACGTCTATAACGTTAAGATCAGCATGTTTACAAATTAACTCTCTTACGATCTCATCATATCCTTTAGCTGCGGCAAGCATTAACGCTGTTATTTTTCTTTTATCAAATGCATTTACTTGAGCGCCATTTTCAAGTAGCAGCTTGACCGTATCTTTATGGCCGTTTAGAGAAGCATGCATTAATGCTGTACGATAGTCATAATCCTTGCTGTTGATATCAAATGGATCTTTTATTAACGCTTGAACTGTTTCATCGTGGCCATTGCTCGCTGCAAGCAACAATGCGTCTTTTCCTTCTTTATTTCTAAGATAAGGGTTTGATATATTTTTAAGCAACACGATAACGATATGTGTGTGACCACTTGCAGCTGCATGCATTAACGAATTCATTCTATTTGTGTCAACTATGTTAGCATCGGCTCCTTGTTCAAGTAAAATATTAAACGTTTCTAAATGTCCATTAGTTGCAGCTAGCATCAATGAGTTACACTTGTCATTATCTTTTGCGTTCATTTCTGCTTTGTGTGCCAGTAAAGTTTTAACAATTATAGAATGTCCTCTAATAGCGGCAAGCATTAATGAGTTTCTTCCGTCCTTGTGTTTTCTGTTAATGTCAACACTGTTGTCGAAGCATAAGAGAACATTCTCGTTGTGACCATTATAAGCAGCGTGTGATAGACAGGTCCATCCATTGGTATCTTCAATGTGAATGTTAGCTTTACGCTCTATTAAGAGCTTTACAATCTCAGTGTGACCTTTGGACGATGCATGCATTACAGGGGTCATGTTATTGTTATCAGTACTGTTGACATCAGCGTTATATTGAAGTAATTCATTTACAATTTCACAACATCCGTTCAATGCAGCATACATTAAAACGTCCATTCCAGCTTTGTCTTTATATTGAACATCAGCTTTCTTTTCAAGCAGTAGCTTAACTGTTTCTATATGTCCATTAGACGCTGCATGCATTAAACAACTTAGGCCATTGTTGTCTATACAGTTAACATCAGCTACGCTAGTCAATAAAACTTCTAAAGTCTCAATGTGTCCATTTGATGCAGCGTACATGATAGCATTAAATCCATCATTATCTTTACACGTAACGTCGATGTCTCTTTGGAGTAGAAACTTAACTGTTTCGGTTTGTCCATTAGATACTGCCAGCATTAAGCTGTTGCGTCCACTGAAATCTTTGCTATTTAAATCAGCGTTATTATTAAGTAACAGACTCAATATTTCATTGTGACCGTTAAAGGCAGCACGCATAAACGCGTTCCATCCATCAATATCTACACAACTGACATCCACATTATTTTCTAGTAATATTTTAACAATTTCTTTATGACCGGCTGAACAAGCACACATCAGCGAAGTTTGTTGATGAAAATCTGTGGTATTTAATTGAGCGTGTTTTGAAATTAACATTAAGACTGTCTCTTTATGGCCGTTACGAACAGCGTGCATTAAAGCATCAGATCCATAATTATCTATTCTTTGAATATCAATATTGTTTTTTATTAAAATCTCTGCCGTTTCAGTGTGTCCGTTACTTGCACTGATCATCAAAGCGTTCATTCCTTGTTTGTCTTCGATGTGAATATCACTTTTTTCTAGAATCAATTCCTCGATAATTTCTTTATCTCCAACCTCTGCTGCATACATTAATTGATTCATCTCATTAATTTCACTTTTGTGAATAACATAATCATTTTCTTCTATTTTTAAGCAGCTTTGAGTTCTTTCATCATCATTGGGTAGACTTACTATGCCTGAAGCAATCATCGTATCTATCACGGAATTCTGTACTGGATCCTCACATGTCGCTATAGCTAATAGTACAATAAAAAAAGTACGTTACTATTTCGCTCAGAGTTGGTCAGAGAAATAATTATTTTTTAGAAAAAGAGATAATTTACAAACTATAGGCGTTCTATAAAGTAAGAGGTATTGTGTAATCTTTATATTAGTGCTGTTGATGAATGAATTAACTGTTATATCCATCATATATATATATATATATATATATATATATATATATATATATATATATATATATATATATATATATATATATATATATATATATATATATATATCCGAAAACGTAAATTGAAACAAAATTATAATATAGTACTATACTAGTCATACTGCCTAGCTTCGCTTAGGTTTAAGAAAAAACATTTACCTGAAATCTTACCATTTACATAAAATAAATAAACCGGGAGTAGCCTCTCCTAAACCTTCTCGAATATTCTTGTATACAACAACAAGGGATGGGAACTCGGGATATAGACATGATTTTTAATCCATTTTAAATAATACTTAAACTTTTAAAATAGAATAAAATCTCGTGAAAATAGAATTGCACACCAAGTGAACGCCAAATAAAATGTGCACAATAGTGCGCATTATTATTAGTACTTTATAAATTTACATTCGTTTTTTGAGAAATATGAAAATATCGTAAATTACTACTGCCGGTCAACGGAAATTACTCAAAATTTGACAGAATGTAGATAATTAGATCTTTTACTTACAAGTGAAATTTCAATTATCTATCTGAAATAGTACTCACGTTAGAGGCTTTTGAAAAATTCAAAGTAGAAAAAGTACCACTTCCGGTTATCGGAAATCGCTCAAAAGTTGATAGGGATCTACGATTTTGATAAAATACTTAAATATAAGATTTCATCAACCTAGCTGTAACGGTACTCAATCTATCGTATTTACACACACACACACACACACAAACAGACACACACAGACACAGACATACGGACAAGATTGCAAAACTATGTTTTTCCGACTCAGGGAGATGTAAAACGTCGAGTTTCGAAAAATTTCGATTTTTTTTTGCACGATTGTAAGACTTTCTCTATAGGCCTACTTTGTATATACGAGAAAGTAAAAAGATACTAAACTTAGCACTATTTCTAATTTAACATCTCATTTTAAACGTAAAAATAATGTTTAAATAATAAATAATCAAGAGATTTCCTTCACTTACCATTGTTTGATTTGATTAATGTCTGTGTGATAGCGTGGTCTGAAGAAAAAGAAAAAAATAAGGTAGGGGAGGTTGGGCGCAAGAGGCCTGCACGAAAGTCTCCAGTTCAGATCATGGGTCTAAGTCTGTAAGACGTCCTTAAGCACACACACTCCTGATAGGTGCGTATCATAAGCTACGAAAATCCGAGGTAACAGGGCGTAGAACTTATTAGCACACTATACCCCCATATGCCTACGTTACAATAACAAATAAATTATACTTTATTTTTATATCTCATCTCAGAGGCGTATCAAGAGGGAGAGGGGGTTCTAGAGGTCGGACGCCCCGGGCAAAGACCCTAGGAGGGCGCCAAAAGCGGTAGAGAAAAAAAAGCTCATTTTAAGCTGCTGTTTTGAACTATAAACAGCCAGAAGTTCAGAAATTTAACAGCAACAATCCTTTACGTACTAATTTAAGTGTTGTCTACCTTTATTGTGTAACTCTAAAACAAATACCCTTAAGAAAAATTGAGCGGTAAAAACCGCTTTCCAGGTTTTCTTGAAGTGCGTGTGTGGGAGAGGGGACATTTTGTATCACTAATAAAAACAAATTATTAAACGGCATTTTGTACGATTGTTTAACAGTAAAATAGTGAGCGATTATAAAACCCGCAATAACAACTTAGTCCAAGGATTTTACTGGATTGGTGAGTATATTACTCTATTAACACTCAGAAAAGAAGCCAATTGTATGAAAGCGTATGTGTAACAGTAAATTAAGAAAAAAGGTGATGAGTGGGGGCGTTTTTTCGCCATGATAAATTGGAAAGATTTACACCGCGTATTAATAATGTTAAACGCGTAATTTTCGATTTCTTTTGCCAGTTTTCTTAAGAAATTACGCGACCAGTTCTTTCTGCGATGCTTACGATACTCAACTTCAACGTAAGATATCAGATATTTTTCTTGATTGCATTACATCCATTGTATTTAAGAGAAATAAAACGGATTCTTGTATCTCTAACTGATCAGTAAAATAGGATGCTGTCGGAGAGGGTGACTGAAAGCAATGCTATATCACCAAGTTTTAATAAAAATGTAACAATCAAATAATAAATATTAGCTACTGTCATTAACATATATCATTGTCGCCATTATCAATCTTATATAATTTTGAAGTTCTTTAATTTAAAAAAAATATTTTTACCTGTATTTTGATGCTGTTTATTATCTTGGGGCATTACTATGGCATTATGAAGGTCATCATAACCAGCTTGTTTTAAGATGTCTACAAATTTCTCAATGTCTGAATCACTTTTGTCCAAAATTATGTCCATTACTTTTAGGGCGGCTTTTCCTCTGCTTTTCTTATTTATGCTTCTCTTTTTTTCAAAAGATATTAATTTGCTTTGGAACAAATGGACAAGTATGTTTTGTGGATCAACCTCATCTATGAGTCTTGTTTTATTTGCAATTAGCTTTGATTTTAAGCTATCGTTTTGTTGTGGCTTTATCTGCGTGCTTCTAATTGTGTCTGCAAGATCTTTGTAAACTTCATCTAAACAATCCATAAAAGTATTGAAAGCTTCTCCTTTCCCGGCGTCCATCAATTTTTCAAGGAACTTATCTGTTCTCGAGTGTGCAGTCTTTTCTTCTTTGACTTCTAGCATGTCGTTTTTACTAAAAATGTTCTTCTCATACATTTTTGCAACAATAAATGTGGCATCCATTCCACTGAGAAGAGTTTCCCAGTTAACTTGTAGTTTGTAAGCATCATCGTCGTGTAATTTTCCTTTCAATGGTTTTTCTTGCAATCCGGCTATAAAAATAATACAGTTGATGAAATATACTATTTTGAACCACTCTAGATAGTTTATAATTTCTTTGCGTGTCACGTGATCGATCAATTTAACACATCTTTACCATGTTTTGCACATGATTCTACTGAAGAGTTTAAGGTTTAAGCTAAACGTAATATGTCTATCTTATTGCATTTTCTTGATAACACTGCTGGAGTCTAGTATTTATTATCTTGATTTTATAATAATAATTTGTTATGTTATTCCTATACAGTATAAAATTATATATCTCACTGGTTTAATATGGCATCCCAGTTATGCGTAACCTTAAATTTATGTGTGTGTGTGTAACAAATAAGCACGCATTAGCCTACAAATGCACACATTGGTCCGATAATCTTATAATTGACAGCGCATTTCAACCATACGCGCAATGGTCCGAATGTCCTGAACAATGTTCGATGTAGGCTACGATGTGATGGCTTTTTAATTATTCTTACTGCGTTTTTTTAAAGTAATTTATTTTTCCTCTCATGTTATTATAAAATTCTATATGCAATGTGTCATCCAGGTAAAGAAGAAGGTACCACACCAGTTGTGAGAGTGGCTTTTTGTGATTATATGAATTTGGCTATTTTTATATCGTAATGTTTAATGACCGTCCATAGTCTGAAAAGGTTCTTGACTTCGGCAATGGACGGGCCAGTCCGCGAATTATCTCGTCGTCATAGAGGAGGCTATCAAACATAGTAGTAACCCATATTTCACTATTTTTGTAAACTAACATGGGTATTGATTATTTTTTTCAGTTTGCCTCTTGGTTTAATCCCTGTTGCATTGCAAATATAGTTCTATACCAACACGAGCCAAACAATACATTAATAACATTGACAAATCAGCCAGATTAATTAAAAAACCATCACGCCGCAGCCTAAGTCGAACTTTGACCAGGGCATCTCGGCCAATGTATGTAATACAGTGTCAGTGTAAAGCTCTTCGGACTTCGGATAAATGTGTACATCGAGAGGTCAATATATACGTATAATATTTTTCTTAAAGAGCCATTTTATTCCTCTAGTGAAGTATATCAATATATATATATATATATATATATATATATATATATATATATATATATATATATATATATATATATATATATATACATATACATATACATATAAATATATACATATACATATACATATATCCATATTACCTTTTTTGCGTACTGGTTGAACCTTTGAATCAGAGTTGCTAGCCATGCTTAATTCTTTAAGTCGAAGAAAATGCTTCCACATACCTAACACTTCAAGCCGAGTCTATTTGTGAAAGCAGTTAACGTCCTTTCAAACATGCTGTTAATAAAGATGATGTGTTTTCTAGTTATGAATAGTTATTAATATTAAAAAAGCCTAATTGTTCAACGTTTAAAAGTAAATTTTCTTTAAAACGGCTAATAAATCAATAATAATATTATATACTAACATTCCTACATACTTACTACTTTTGAATCATAACGCCGTTCTTGTAGGTAAAATAAATTAGGCTATGAATTTCTAGAAGTCCTTTCTAAAAGGACTTCATACACCAATACGCCTATTTATATCCATGTTTTGAAAACATGGAACGTTCTAAAAGAAAAATTGATTTTTGTCACGTCAAGAGGGCTAGTCATGTCACAATTTATTTGGTTCTGATATTTTATGTTAACGTTATGGATGTTTAAATATATTGGTACTATCTTGTTTAGTGATACTTTAAAGACATTTCGTTTAAATGCAAGAAATGGATTACGGTAAAAAGAAAAATTGAAAACTATTTAAATATACTAAAGTTTCTAAACCTAACGTTACGGTCCAGCAGTTGTAAAGCTGGTGCTCTGTCAAAACGGCCCGGGACAAATCGGCCCCGTCAAAACGACCCCGTCAATTTGACCCCGTCAAATCGACCCCCGACAAAACGACCCAGTCAAAATAGACCCGTCAAATGGGTCCCGACTTATTGGCTCCCGTCAAATGGGCTCCCGTTATATTGACACGCGACATATAGGCTCCCGACAAATCTCTTCTTCTTCTTCTTCGTTCTTAATTATTAGTGTTGAAGGAGATCGAGATTTATCTGCCAGTGGGTTTGAACTCGAGACTTTGTTCGAATTTATCAACCATGAGCTTTTTTGCCGACTCGACCACGCCTCCAACACAATTAAGCGTTACGTGTCAACGGGTTATGCGCCATTGAGGCCATTGACTCCGATTTCAGCCTGCTTTTCTTTTTGGATTTGCTTCCATAGCCTTTGTCCAACTAAGAGCAAACTACAAGGCAGCAGTTGTTTTATTTTGGAGTTGTCTCTCCTAGAAGAGTGGCTGTCCCCAGCTAACGAGCCTCATCTGCCCGAGGGTTCGAACTCGAGACTTTTCGGTTTAGCAACCATGAGCTTTACCGACTCGACCACGCCGACCCCTTCCCGACAAATGAGCTCCCGACATTTAGGCTCCCAAAAATGGACTCTTGACAAATTGGCTCCCGACAAATAGGCTCAGAACATACTGGCTCCCGACAAAGTGGCTCCCGTCATATTGGCTTCCGACATAAGGGCTCACAACAAATGGGCTCACGACAAATGGGCTCATGACATATTGGCTACCGACAAATGGGCTCCCGACATATTGGCTCCCGACAAAATGACTCCCGACAAATATATATAATACTACGGGGGATGGCAACTCGGAATATAGAAATAGTCTTTAATCAATTGTTAAAATCGAAATTTTTTACAATAGTATAGTAAAATAGAATAGAAACTAGTAAACCGCAAACAATATGTGCATAATAGTGTGGAATATTAGTACTTTATAAATTCATATGCGTTTTTAGAAATCGTCAATAACGTAAATTACTACATCCCATCAACGGAAATTACTCGAAATTTGACTGAAGGCAGAGAATTAAATCTTTTACTTGTATGTGAAATTTCGTTTATCTACTAAAACAATTCTCAAGTTATAGGCTTTTGAAAAAAAAACTAAAAGTAACCATGAGCTTTACTGACTCGAACACGACGATCCCTTGTTTTTAGTCAAATTCTGAGTAGTTTCCGTTGACCGAAAGTATTGCTTTACGCTAATTCCGATTTATCAAAAAAAAAAACGAATATGAATGTGTCCTAATATATAAAAGCCCATATGCTCACTTCTCTCTCTCTCTCTCTTTCTCTCTCTCTCTCTCTCTCTCTCTCTCTCTCTTTCTCTTTGTCCGCATGTAGTTGTAATGGTTGGGGGCCCCGTAATACCCAGCGGCTACCTGAGTTCAAGGAATCCGTTAATTGCACATCCTGCTAATTCATGTGTACTACTTGTTTAACGAACAAGCTGCAACAGGCTTTTGACACCCCCGGCAGACAGATGATACCAATAAAATGACTAGCCCACACTAGGGAAATGGTGGGCCTCTACGTTTGATCGGTTTGCATCCAGCTACCTACGTTAGTGTAACCTGTCACTTACTTACGTCCCTGACACCTGGGCGGTCGCCGAACAGTATACACGGAGGATAATTCACGTAATCCCAATGCTTTTATATAGCAAGCCCAAGGGCGTCTGAGCGGTAGTGTGAATAAATCCGCGCCATAGAAACAAAGACATGACAAAATAGCACTGGAGTTGTTTTCATTTTAAGTATATCAGGTTTAAAAAACAAGGCCACAAGACTTAAAATACATAAATGATAGCGCGTTGATAAAACCGTTACAAATTGATTCCATACACTGGTATGTTGGACAAGATCACAAAAAAGCAGCAATGCCGATGGGTACGCTATTACGTTTGACATTCCTTAACATGCAGCGGTGATCGGGAAAGAGATTTTGATGTCCATGATAAAATCTTTAAATCTCATTATTTGTTCATTATGATGACATGAATTTGTTATGAAACAAATTGTAAATTTGCTCTTTGGGTAAGTAACTTGGCCATGATATAAATCGGACATACAGGAGCAGTTTAATGGATCTTAAACTGTGTCGAACCGCAATCGTCTTTTATGATTATATACCGTATAAAGGAAAAAAATCCCACCATTCCGTGGCGCTGATGATTTATTGAGATCTTCCAAGGCGTAGCGACCCTTCCCGGCGCCCGGGGAGAAACTTTCGATTTGCGCCCCCCCCCCCCCCCTCGAGTTTTCGATTTGCACCTCCCCCTCGAACTTTCGATTTGCACCCCCCCCCTCGCTACGCCTCTGGTAGTGTATAATTTATTTTCTATTTTTTAGTGAATTAGTACATAGAAGCTTGTATTTAAACGTTTTTTATGATTTTAACATTTTTTAAACACAATAGAGGACTAAAATCAAGGATTACTCGAATGTGTATTAAATGTACACCAAATAAAAGTGTCAAAATGTAAATATATTTTTGTACTAGTAAATCATTTTTCAAGATACTATAAAAATAAATAATTGGACATTTACATTTTCTTACCGTTTCAAAGAGAATCCACAAGTTGGTATTACATGTGCCGCAACTTATAAACGTATATCTACTCTATGAAAACTTAAGTCTTTACTGCGTACCTTAAGTATCAGGCGACGTTAATGTGTTCATTTGATCTTTACCCTCCTTACTTTTTTATCCACTTGTAGAACCGAAAATAAAATCAATAACCCATTTGTAAAGAAAGTTCTTAAGGCGTTGAACGAATAATATCTCTGCAAAGAAGTTATAGCGTTTAAGCTATAACCTGACTTTTTAATATTGAAATTTCTTATTCTACATCTCACATTTTATGTACCAAACATTTTGTTTTTTTTAGTTTGCTTTATTTTGCAGCATCAATTAAATTAATTACCTCAAAATTAAGTGATTAACGTAAGTGCTACCATGTGGTTAAACTTGTTTTACACTTGTTTTTTTTTTTAGACAAAATCAATAAATCAATAGCGTAGGCTACATATATTAACGACATTAGATAAAATCAATAATCCTTAAGCCGGCGTATTGACGTTATTTGAAGTTTCTTGTTACAAGCTACTGAATGCTGCTTGGTGTGGGCTTAGTCAGCTGTCAAATGTTTTGGCAAATGTTGTACAATATGTTAATATTCAACTTTTATAATATGAATCGCGAAGCCACTTAGGCATTCAAAATAACATATTCAATAAAGAAACGATTATAATTAGTTTTAATAACAAATTACCAGACATTTTTACTCCAATAAACAAAGTAATTATCACTCTTACACTTGTTTTTGATAATATATTATTCTACGATAGTTTTATTTCTAGCAAACAACAAAACCAATAAGCAATGACGACACAAAAACAGTTATTTAAATATTTGAATTATGCTTTTAAAAAATTGTTAACAAGCTTTATAGAAATCTAAAAACATGGAAAATTAAATTCAAAAATATGAAGTACTGTATAAATAAATCGCTTCATATAATAAAAAAAAATTAAATACATATAAATCTAAAAAAAGTGTATTAGTAATTCAACTTATAACTTGATTCGAATGGCTGTGTGAATTCAGACCTCCTATTTCTTTGTAAAAAATTATATTAAACATTGAAATCAGTAGGATAAAAGTTTAACAATGTTTATTATTGTATTGCATTTTAATTAGATGATATTTAAACGCTGCCTGTCAAACCCGATTGTTAAAATATTGATGTAAATATTTCGAAATTTAATAAAATAAGTTGTTCCTTAGCACACTTACAATAAATGGGTAATATATATATATATATATATATATATATATATATATATATATATATATATATATATATATATATATATATATATATATATATATATATATATATATATATATATATATATATATATATATATATATATATATACTAGAATACCTGTCATCCGTTGGATAACTGTGGGTTTAGGGGGTCATCCATCAAAAAACATCACGTCTGTCACTCAGAGGCATAGCGACCCTTCCCGGCGCCCGGGGACAAACTTTTCGATTTTAACCCCCCCCCCCCCCCCAAGATTTCGATTTTCAACCCCCCCCCTCTCAAACGTTTGATGTGCCCCCCCCCCACTCTAACTTTCGATTTGAACCCCCCTCAACCTTTCAATTTATTTTTTCCATATATATATATATATATGGAACGGAGTGGCCTAGACTGCTAACCAAGTGCGTATCGAATTGAAATCCGCGTTCAAGTTAGTAGCACCTGACTCATGTTAGGGAAGCAAAGGCGGCTAGTCAAAGTGCTGACCACACCATATCTTCGTGTGCCGAGGTCTAGAATTATA